TCCAAATACTTGGAGTTAGCAAAAAAAAGGAAAATCATTCATTTATTCACTTTCTGATTTCATCAACAAGGAATTGCGCATTGCATCTTGTTCAATGACAACATAATGATCCTGAACGACGATTCTGACATCGATGTTGAGATTTGACAGAGCGATATGGATCTCTAGACGGCCTAGACGTATCAACTGATGGACGGAATATTCCGCTATAGGCTATTGAAACAAAAGTCGCTTCATATTCAGCTTCGGGTTCAATATCTGAATGGGAAGAAAATGTTTTATCTTGTTGGCTGCATCACATTCTTCATCTGTCGATTAATGGGTTGACCAACTATTCCAATCCACAGCAACAATGATAATACAGTAAAAACCCACATATAAGAACCTAAAATTTAACAACCTGTTAGGCTAAAATTTTCATTTTAAACCCCCATTTCATAAGAACCTGTTTATCCTAAAATTTCAATAGGTTCTTCTTTTACGAAAATGAAGGCGGAGAAGAAAATACAGCCGGAAAAAAGTCTAGGTTTCAGTCAGTAAGATTCAGAAATGTAACACAGCATTTTACGGATACTGCAGCATGAAAGACATGCATGCTAGTACTTTGGAAAGATAAAATTACTGCATGGTTATCATCTAAACTGTTTTCTAGATAATTATTTAATAAGCAGTTATCTGTGCTGATCGCTGGTGCCCTTATCAAATTAAGAACCTATTTAAAAACCTAAGTAGCCTAAACTCCCACCATTTCTATAAGAACCTATTTAGGTTAAGTTGAAAAAACTAGGTTCTTATACGCGAGTTTTTACTGTACTTCACCTTCTCCAAGGCGATCTACCAAGAGAGGAGAAAAACGAAGAAAGAAGAATAAAACCTCACCTCTCTCTTATTCTGCAAGAATATGTCCCAGACTCTCTCGGCGGCAGCTGCCAGGAGTCTGGTACAGCTGGAATCTTCTTCACGGTCGACCTCAGCTTCAATCTCTTCAGACACTTCTTCACCAATGTCAGTTGTGCCTACAACAACTACAATGAGACAACACAGCACCTTTCAGTCTACTGCTATTACACCTCTCTAGCCAATCACAGCAAACCTAGACACTCCAACCAACCAATCAAATCTCACGCAAGCCACGAAAAGAGCGGAAAATCGCGTATCACAAATTCACGACTATTAGAGCTTTATTTATGTCTATAATCCGCGGGCCTCATTGGTTAAAATTGGTCACATCATTTATCGTTACCTAGCGACATCAAAGTGACAGCGCGCGTTATTGACAATAGGGAACTTAAGAACCACGACGACGACTAGGTCGACGACGAACGGAGGTGAGTTACAGTGTACTGCGCAAGCGCGACCGGTAAATTTCGTCCTGCAATCCACAAGCTTCTGCAGATAAAAACCCACTGTTTTAAGCGATTTTTGCAATTTTTAGTGATGTACTAGTGAGCAGCACACTTACCCTTCCAGTGAACATTTACACTTGGAAGAAGAAGAAACCATGCTCGCCCGGGGCAACGGAAATTTTCGTGCCCCGGGCGAGCATGGTTTCTTCTTCTTCCAAGTGTAAATGTTCACTGGAAGTGTAAGTGTGCTGCTCACTAGTACATCACTAAAAATTACTTTAATGAAACTAGCAGAAGCCACACGAGAAACTGAGCATAGAAGTGCAATGCACTCAGCTCCCAGTACAGAACTGTAGTACACTCTGCTGGTATAGTAGAATTCCGACTTCACTAACGCTAGAGCCCTGGTGGTTCAGTGGTTAGAACGTCCGATCTAGTATGCGGAAGGTCGCGAGTTCGATTCTCGCCCGGGGCACGAAAATTTTCGTTACCCCGGGTGAGCATGGTTTCTTCTTCATCCAAGGGTAAGTGTTCACTGGTAGTGTAAGTGTGCTGCTCACTAGTACATCACTAAAAATTAAAAAAATTTTCGTTGCCCCGGGCGAGCATGGTTTCTTCTTCTTCCAAGTGTAAATGTTCACTGGAAGTATAAGTGTGCTGCTCACTAGTACATCACTAAAAATTAAAAAAATCACTAAAAATTGCATTTTCTTATCCTCGTAAATCCAGGTACCGTTCCTTTTTCCTCCTAACAAGCGATGTTTATTGAAAATTCGACCAATGAATTGATTTTGCCTCGAAGAATGACAACAGCTGTGGAGGCCGAGCGAGCGAACTCGTAAGTGATAAATTTATTTGTACGTATTTAGGTAAGGTAAATCATATATCTTTAATATATAGAGTAAAGAAAAATGGAAAACAGCTATCAAATCAGAATATTTCTTTTTCGAAATCTAAATTCTGACAGACACTCGGACTCGCTCATCTCATTCAAGTTGAAAGTTGAATAATTTCGTACGGAAAGTAGGTGTTTTTCCACTCGAAAAGGTCAGACAACACAAAAAATTCTTCATCGTCAATGAAATTAGACTTAGGGTTTCAAAAATAAGATCTTGCATTGTTTTAAAAGACGCCATTGCGAAAAACTTTGTTGCGAACGAACAACACAGTTTTACATTTGTGTTTACATTCAGTGTCGTCGTCGTCGACCTACCGACCGACTGCATCTTAAGTTTCCTTTTTCCCGCCGAAACTGACGTTCTCGTTCCAGTCTTTTCACAGTCAACAGACGTCGTCGTCGTGGACTTCGTCGTGGTTCTCAAGTTCCCTAATAGGGGAGGGGGGAGGACGACGACAACGCCAGTGAAAACGTCGGTAAAAAAATGAATTTACGTTCTTTCAAACTTAATCGCGTCTATTTGGACCCGCTCAATATGTCAAATGCAGGCGACTTTTCCTGGAGTTGAATTATTAAGGATTTTACTCAGGTTCAAAAAGAGGAAGGAAAATTCGTCGTCGTATGTCCACGTCCTCCATAAAACGTCAAATTAGGAGGTTTCACGTCGCAGTCGTGCAGTGGACGTCAAAGAAATGTACTAAAATGCGTGATGCACGTGCAGAGCTGTTGTTTTGATCATTATACCTATTGTTTTTTTGAAGTCGTCATTGCGGTCGTCGTCGTAGTTGCGTACGCTCCCTAACAACGCATTATAAGTGTGCAGTGTTCAAACATGGCTTCGACTTCGAGATTTTCTGAGGTTGAAGAGGATAAAATTGCTGAAATTATCGACAGCGCTGCACCAGCAAATATAAAACGGCAAACCAACTCGAGTGTCTCAGTTTTCAACGTGAGGTAAGCAAAAAGAAAGCGTTTTTTGGTAATTTTCTCCGCTTTTTGTGTCGTCGTTTGATTTATGACGGCAGAGTGTAGGTTTGTCAATGTTGTTGCTGTTGTTTTTTTTAGTAACTGTTGAATGAAAATACGATTTTAAATTAGTGTTTTCTCTTTGTAACCCAGAATGGTTGCAGCTCAAATATCGTAGTGAAGACTTGGACAGCTTGAATAAAGAAGTAATTGCAGAAAGGCAAACTAAGTTCTATCAAGAATGCGAAGCAGTTGCAAGACCATCGTACGCAGTGAATTCATATTGAATATTAAAAGGATTAGAGACTGTCTAGTTCGTGTTTTGCTAACAAATACACGCACTGGCTTACCGTACAATGAACTCGAAATTTTCAATACTGCACTCAGTTCCGATTCGCGCAGTATTGAAAATATCTCGTTCATTGTACGGTAGGCGCGTGCGTGTATTTGTAAACAAAACACTCACAACAGTCTCTAACCCAAGATTAGTTACTGCGCTTTTCACAAACATGCGAATTTTGAAGTTCAAAAGCCAACTGACGATTGCGTTTTTCGCTGCTGTCAATCATCTTAACGGACCTCTTAGGAAACAAAACTTTACTTTAACGGGTTCAAAAGGTCAAGGTTTGTGATTTGTGATTGGTGGATTTCGATCCGTTTTGTGTGTTTTTGTGTTTTAAGGTTCGTTGCTTGTGATCGTAATTATGATTGGCGGCAGTGAAAAACGCAATTGTGAAGGCGGCTTATGAACTTTAGAGTTCGTATGTTTGTGAAAAGGGCAGTAAGGTGATGTGAGGTTTTTTACCAATCGTAAAGCACAACAATGTAACACTATGAAAACGACTTCAATTAAATAATACAGTTCTCAATTTTGCTGGCTTGACCGAAATACCCATCACCTTGGATACTAATGTGAACTTCATTTTTCGCTAGTTCAATCATCTAAGGTATTTATAGAATAGTGTGCACGAGCAAAGCCTTAACTTGCATGTCATGGAGATGTCATGATGTCTAAAAGAACTCTCCCCCTCCCTTACTATAAACCTGGCCAACATCTAAATAGTTACATGACTGATAAACACAAAAACACTCGAAGTTTTCGATAGTCCGTAAACATCTTAGGACATCTTAAGACGGGATCCACCAGGAAATTGAGTAATTTTAATTCTCAGTGGACAAAAACCTTGTACCAAAATAATTTGAAGAATATTGAATTGTGAAAACACAGGTAAATTTCTGAAAATTTCATGCGTAAGATGTAGTTTTGTGAAATTTGACATTCATTTTCTCGGGCTGTCATAAGAAATTTTCTTTCCTGCTATTACAGATGACTAATTACATCTTTAGCCCTTCAAAAATGTAAATTTGAATGCAATATGCTTTAAACTATTCAGGTACAAGGTTTTTGTCCACTGAAAATTAAAATTACTCAATTTCCTGGTGGATTCCATCTTAAATCGTTTCAACTTTTCCACTTAATTGAGATACAAAGCCAAGTAATACAAAATACGGATCCTAATGCGAAGAATACTACTGAACACAGCAAACTGAATCACCTTCAGAGGTAATACTATCCCTGATCTGATTTTCACTGTTAGTCCCCATAACAAGAAGCCAGTGACACAGACCAGCAATAAACTCAGGCTCATTGTTCACTGGTGCAAACACAAGCTTGTGATTTGTGGTCAACATGTGCAGGAACTCTAACAAACTTGTTTGATCTGAAATGGACAGAAGGAAGATAAGGATGGTTAAAACAAATTTAACTTTAAGGCTTTAAATGATTCTCAGGCATAATACAGCATTACGGTGTTTAAATCTTTTTCTCCTAAGGGTGCTACATGGCATGGCATAAGAAGCCAATTACATGCTTTATATTTGATCAATTTCTATGAAAATTATTGAAGTATTTGCCCATGGAAGGCATAAAACCCTGCCCTCTACATGTCACTTCATTTACAAACCCTGTAACTTGTGGAAAATTTTGCACTTTTTAGATCAACTTCTGCAATTGACGGTGGTGCATCAAATAAGTCAGTGTAGTGATGAACCATATTAGGTAAGGCAACTTTGCAAAGACGGTGAAAATGACACAAAAGTCAGGGTATAATATTAAAAAAACTGGCTCCTTTCTTTTTGCATATTACAAATTGGTAAATTTCCCTACCTTTTTCTAGATGTCTCATGATGGCACTGAGGGTTTTGCCGTGGGAATTTGAGTACACAGGGGTTGTGTTAATTTAAAGGTCGTCTTTACAAATTCAGTCTCTCAACAACACAGTCACAACAGGCAAATCAGTTTTGCTTGACCTAAAAATTGTTCAATGTCCTTACCCGTAAGGCGAGCCAAAGGACGGGACATCTGGTACAAGATAGTTCTATTCAGTGAGTGATATGCACTATCCAATGATACATTCTGACCTGTTGAGTCAAACGACAATTAGGTTAACAAAGGAAACGAATAGGAGGTGGCTAAGAATGAAATCATTTTATCTGTCAAATGTGCTTCGTTGCTCGACACTAAATAAAACCCACAGCAATGGTAGCAGGCAAAAAAACTAACCAACTAGCCTGGCTCCAGAGGTTTGTTCTCAGATATCTAGGATTGAAAAACCTTAGTGCACACTTTAAAAAAGCTCCCCAGAATTAGCCTGCATCGCAGACCGTCGAGTTCTTTATTTAGGTCTTGAGTGACAAGTCTGGCTGCAACACAGGCTACCCAGTATTAAAAAAAAGCTAAGAAAAGCGTTGTTATATCGTTGTTAATAGAGACTTCGTATCCTAAGTTTTATTTACTCTTAAAGTGAGTATAAACTTGGATTTACCTTTTACTCCATCAATCATACTTGTGAGGAAGTTAAAGACAGTCTTATAACCATGAGTAAAGTTTCCTATAAAAATACAAGAAGAGTAAAAAATACGAGAAGAGAGTGATGAAATTCTGTGTGAATTAAACAAATGTCAACTTTACAAAATAGAGGTACAGACGAATAAAAGACGAACTATGCAAAGGTAGAGCACTGCGTTTATTGTTCTTGAACTTATCAAAATAGTACGAAATGCGAGCCAAACTTAGAAATGGTAAAACATTTACTTGATGCTCTAGCCTTAATTTTAATAATCTAACGGAGTCAACCACACTACAAACTAGCACAATACTTCCTTCACATTGCAACTTGCATGGACGTGTATGGACGACAAATAAAGAGCGATTTTCGTACGACACAGAAACGAAAACAAACAAACAGAACGAAACTGGAATAACGTATTGCTGATTGACCTGACGAAAGGTGAAAATGATTTACGAGAAAGAAGGCAAAGCAAACGAACTGCGAGCTTTCGGGCTTTACTACGTCATTCAATCGCTTTTCAGTTTTCTGATTTGTCAAACGCACAAAAGCTTTCTCTATATCGGCCATTTTGAGTGTGAACAGGAGGCTCAGAGTTTGGTGTTCTGGCAAACTGCACTACAGGAGTGCTTTGGGGACGCTATCACTCAGTCAATAGCAATTACGTAGTTGCACAGGAAACTGGGTCCAATTTCATCCCTTAACAATCCCATAGTGCAATTCGACAGGTGAGAAAACGAGAAATCTTGGTTCAACCCTTTGAGCTACTGGCAAGTCAAATACATCACCAAGATACAGGAAAACAGGTTCTCAAGGTAATCATAATGTAAAATTACCTCTGTAAAAAGTTTTAAGTCAAAGTGTTTTACTTACCAACCCAAAGTTTATCAACAACTTTCGAAGCAAAGCAGAAAGCGTTTGCAACAATTTTGGCATGATTTCCTGACCCTGCTGACGGATTTGTCAAAAGATTTCCTCCAAGAAGATAATCGATCTGAATACACAATACTTCAGTTTGAAACTCTGCTTGCTGGGACTGTGAACACCTGGCGGGGAAGGACTGAAATGAAGAGAAACAACACTGCACACAAATGACCCTTCAGGTGGTGAAAGTGGATTCAGCTACTTAAGAAATGTAATCTTTCCAAACTTTGTTTTCCAACCTTAGAATCGCATATTCACTCTTCTGCGTTGAACCTTAAGCTGTTTTTCCAATTTGAAAAAAGAAACACAAAAACTTGCGCTTCGAAGAGATTTTTTCGAGGCACCGTTCAAAGAAAATGAGGTTTGCTTTTTGCATTTCGCTCTCTTACGGCCTTACACCAGGACAGCATAGTGGCTTTGCCGTTGAAGCTATTACCAAAAAAACTCAGCTAAATTTGATATTTTTGACCTACTTCTACGTTTCTGAATAACTGGTGAAACCCTGTTTTGGGTTTTTAATACATTACTAAAGAACAGCTGGGCAAACATGCCGTTTGGACTTAAGACTATATAGCGCATTTACGAATGGCTTTCTCTTATATACTATCAGATGTACGAGACATATATTCAGTTTAAACTTGAGACCTTCTTCCCAGTGTATGCATGTAAGTCTCGTCTTTCGCGTAAATACTCAAGGTAATTTAGTGCTAATTCCTATCTTATTTCTCACCTCTAAAATAGCATCAATGACCCCCTGACCCTTGGCGGCAGTAGAAGGTGACATAAGCGAGTCTGTCATGATCACCCGCAGGAATTCAAAAACGCACTTTCTTGCAGGATGTGTAATCAGCATAGTCTTGGACAAGTATGACGCTGCTGATTGGGATTGTGCTGCTCTCTGTCTTTCGTTGTCGCTGTCTGATTCAAGCTGGTATAACAAAATAAATCAAATAGTTGATCCTTCATTACTAAGGCTTGCAATTCACGTCGTATATTCAATACGCATGTATCTGGTTCTTCACCCATTACTGACGTAAAAGTGGTCAATTCTACAGGGCCGATATAAATTCTGTCGTCTTTTGAATCCACGGCCTCATTATCAAACAGTATCGTACAGAACTTCTAGTTCAATCGACCGAAACGGCAAACTGAAAATTTCCCGAGAAAACGAATGGGCTTCGAGGTACCTCACTTTTTCCATTACAATCACAGATTACTGACACAACAACAACCTTTTTTTTCTGGCTTGCGCGCTTCACCAGAGGTTTTTCAACTACCAATAAGATGGCAAGTTTGCCACAGAAAGTGAGAGGCTCTCTCTCTCTCTCTCTGAATAAAATAAAAACGTCCATTGAAATAAACCAGAAAATTTGGCTAAATGAAAAGTTTCTCAGATGAACACTATCCACCTACCATACTTTCTCCAATCAATTAACACACTTGTGACTACATACTGGGCTTTGTTAATTTGAAGCGGACATTTGTAGGACAGTACTTTAATCAGTGTGGGTTCTGTGCATAATGAATCACCGTTCACTGTTATTTATATGTTGAAAAAAGGCACTTAGGCACTTAAGCTAGAGCACTTAACTGTTTACTAAAGGCGGTAAAGGAACAAATGGCTATTAGGTACTGGGAAAATGTCACTTAATAAAGGTACGGTAAAACGAGTAACAAAAACGTGAAATTTGTCTTCTAACATTGCTGCAATACGAGTTGAATAGCGATGCTGCACGTTTTACCACCCACGAGTCAAAGCCGTTTTGCAACAATTAGGTTGTTGCAGGTTGTGTCAAGTTGTTGCAGTAAGTAGAGAGTAGTTCTACTTTTTGCAACAAAATCTGTACAAGTTGCGCGTTTTACCGGCCCAAGGCAAACTTTTATGGCGAGACTGCCGCGTTATTTTATCCAATCAGAAGTCAGTATTCACGCAACTTGCAACAACCTGGTTTGTTGCAAGACAGGTTTGAAGGTGGGTGGTAAAACGTGCAACTCAGTATTTCAAAACGGTTCGCGGCAATGTTGCAAAACGAGTTGCACGTTTTTATTGCCCGATTTAGCATAGCTTAAGTCGAGGCTAAACAAGATAAACCTGTCAAAGACCCTTTCGAAATATCTGAACAACAACTCTAGGCGACTAGCGGTAACTCTCGATGATCATCGGTTTCTCGGTGACCATGTTTGTTCGTACTAAGGAATACTGCTGATAACTGTAAACAAGTTAAGTAAACAACGAAGTCCATGTGACAGTGCATACCCAATTCTTGATCTGTACCTCTTGGAACTTTGCCAAGTTCCTCTTCCTAGGAAACAAAACAGTAACAAGCTTCTCCAGGAATTCTTGAGAGCTGCAAACTGCATTGAAGGTTGGAATATTTCGGTACAAAAACATGAGGAACTGTATCAGTGTTACGGGGTATTCCCTCAGCCATGAATCTTCTTCTGTGTCTTCCCACGCCTGGGATTAAAATTAAATTGGCATATTTCAGAATGAAAGAAATTAAATAAAGCGACTTGAGCAAAACTATCTAAGACTGCTTTGGTGATTAACAGCTGTATATGTACTACCCCTTTCACTCACAGAAAGAATGAATCATGAAGTCTTGTAAGGTGGTTCTAACTTTTGAGTCTGTGGATGAAATCCTATGATGTTACCATTCAAATGAAACCTTTTCAGCAGTACTTTCACATGGTACTATTAATTTAGTGTGTAGTTCTAACTTTTGAGTGTGGGGATGAAATCCTACGGTATCACAATTCAAATGACACCTCTTTGGCAGGACTTTTGAGTGGTACTATTTGTTTTTCAGCAAAAGGAAATTTGGAGCTTTTGTCCCATTTTGAACTTGGTCACTTCTGGATACCCCCTGTAAGCCACCACCCAAAATGCTAACAGATTTGATGGTCACTTACTACAGGTTCTAACTACAGTGCTTTGACTGTAAAAGCTCAGTTACAGTGGTTATTTTAATACTAGGGGGTTGGATATGAAGTGTAGGTCCTGGTTTTAATATTGCTTTCCATAAGCTGTTATACCAGGTAGAGGTATCCAGTCTGAGACACGACCTTTTTGGAAGTCAAAAGTCTTGGGACACTTAACATAATACAACCTAAACTGACTCCCTTCCCCCCTTAGACCCAAGCGATGTTGTATTTTGTCCACCCTGTCCACTTTACCCGGTCCTGAAAAGTGGTTGTTTATCCCAACATTGTTTGAAAGAGTGAGAGACCCACCGCGGTCAAACGTCCGAGGCGTTGTTTATTTTATTCAGTGGGATTTCATTCACCATTAAGTGGAAACATTGACCAGGATGTATAAAAGAATTAGTTAACCGACTATCTGAGCATTTTTCTCCACATAATAGGGTTCTTTTTGTTAAAAACGCTTCGCGACGGAGTCAAGATTCTGCTGACAACTGGCGCCGGCAGTAATTCAAACTCTTAGAACTTTTCTAGTCAACTCTCTAAAGTAAAAGTGTAGTAAATTAACAGCGTGTTGCAAACATATTTTAAAATCTTCAAAAAAGTGAATGGTACAAGTACTTTGCTTAGCTTTTGCAAATTTCTCTGGTTCGAACACGGTGAGAGTGAGGGTTTGGGTGAGGGAAGGGCCATTAGAGGCATCCGAACTACTGCAAAAGTGGAAATTAACCCGGCCACATTTGCATATTTGATATGCTACCTCTGTTGAAGGAAGGTTTTCAATAATTGTCCCCAGGATTTTTGGCTTTACTCAGGGGCACCCAACGAGAATATAGTTCAAAACCACTTAAACATAGCATTGTTAAACGTGTTTAAGTATTTAAACGGTGGATATGGGCATATTTTTATCCTCTAAAAATTTTTCATCTGTTCGGATTTCCTAGCTGAAAGTCTAGTGATCCGAAAATTTTAGGGATCAAAACTTACCTGTTCGAAAATTTCAGCCAGAAAAAAGGCTCCCGAAAATTCTAGGTGACCTTTTTAGGGTAAAAATCCGTTGAAAATGGGCAATTTTACCATTTTTTAGATGTTCGAAAATCCTAGGAGAGGCAGGCAAGCAAGAAATTCGTCTTCCGAACAGATATTTTTCCGAAAATTGTCGTTGGGTGCCCCTGTTTACTGTAGCACTGAAATGTCCCACAAACAAAATACTCACTAAAATATCCCCAAATTTGCTACGTATTTAAACTGACCTCATTAACCATGATGTGAGCCATGGTTAGCAGGACATGAGCTGCCTCTTGACAGTAAATATTATATGAACTTGGTTCCGGTGGACTGGATGTTGGCATCTTGACTCCCGAAACCGATGGTGACCAGAACACGGAGTACAAGCTGTCCCAATCAAACTCGGCACCAGAATAAACATCTGAAAACATTGACAAGGCAAATATGGCTTACAGTTTACAGGTATCTACCCGATAGCTTGTGTACAGTATGAAATTTACACGACAGTGGAAATCCACCTTTAGTCATTACATTGCTAAAAAGTTTTATTTACATAATGTGATACTCAAATACGACAAGAGTTTTTATGTCCCGTCGGTGGCCGTATTTTACGGGATTCATCAGGCACACCTTTGCAGGACAACGCTCTAGCCATTACCGTAGTTAACTGATAATAACTGCAAATATTTTGTAAGTGTCTGGTAGAGCATATAAAACTGCTTAGCAGTTGCTCAAAAGCTACCAAATGCATTATGCCACAAACAGACCATCTGCTTATCTGAATTACTAATCTACCCTCTTAATTTCACTTTTTAATCTTCTTTAGTCATTTTATAGACATAGGCTTCCTTCAGACGGTGGAACGGTTGAATTTTCGACCAGTCGGCGAAAATTAGTGCGTTTAGGTGTTCACACCGAACCAAGCTAACCGTACGAAAATTTGATCGCCTAGCCGTTCAAAAATTCGAACACTACAATCAAGGTCAAATTTTTAGCCCCTACAGTCGAAGATTTGACCGGCGCAATGTGAACACCATGACAGTTTAAATTTTTGTGCAGCAAATTAGACCGGCGCAATGTGAACAACGTAGCCGTCTAAATTTTTGTACGGCAAAGGAGCGGCTACGAGGATGCACGGTAACGCCATTTTGGATTTACTTAAGAAGTGCTCTGCGCATGGACAGATGGTGAAAACCTCTGAGAAAGTTAAAATTCAAACTGGTTAGTAAGTTCCGTGTGAACAGAGCGCAAATATCGAACGGTACCGTGTGAACAAAGTGTCCGGTCAAACCTTTCAGCCGGTCGAAAATGTGGACGTGGCCACAGTTGAGAAGAAAATTTTCGCACAGACATCACTTTCACTCACCAGACACAGGGTGCCCAAGCAACAAGGCAATCACAAGATGATAAATCTCTGGTATGTCAATATGTTTGGGCAAAAGTTTGTCAAGCGTTAGAAATCCAGGAACACTGCACACATCCCTGTTTATCTGGTACTTTTCTCTATTGTCAGCCACTGAGCCTACATTGAAACCTAGAAGGGAAACAATTATTCTTGAAAATATTCCATCTTCAACTACCAACTAATCTGCAAGAGAATAGTGACCTTTAGTTTGCTTAGCGAGTAACATAATGATTACATCTACGAGTTTTCAAACCAAGGTTGTCTGCTGAAGATATAACCACTTATTTCACCAATCGTATGTATGCCTTAATCCTCTCCAACGCCCTAGACTCGTTCTACACTCTAAAGATCTCTAATATCTAATGACCTCAGGTCGTGCATAGGATTGAATTTTATCTTACTAAGTTTGAAGCTTAGTGCAATAGCTCAGATTCACAAATTAATCTACAGGCCTATTAACTTGACGCAAAGAGTAAGAAATAAAGGTGCAGATAACACGACTGACTTGATATCAAGGTTACGTCCCCATATAACATCTTAAACTTACCTGCAACAACATAAGTTGTTTTATTGAGCATGATATCAGTGCCGTCTAACCAGCTACCAGTGCAAAGTCCCTCTTTAAACCTGTTTAGTGCGGGCAGACTGCTCAGCATGGTTACTAAGATACGTGTTGCACGGACCACAGTGGTGTTATGGAGATGCGCTTGGAGAAAGAGAAGAAGCCAATCAAAGCCCAGTGTTTCTTGAAGAGCATCTGCAAAACTAAAACATGATGTGTTAATGAATAGCGCCTTTCGATAATCAGAATTACGAAGAAAAACTAACAACTGAAAATTTAGCATCAGCACTTTATTACAATCAGAAATAGGTTGTATGCATGGTTAATTTAAAGATACCTACATCGTCATGATGTTTTTTTTATTTAGCCAAACATAAGTTGCATGCATAAACGTCAGCATACTTTTTGGAGATAAGTTTTTACGATCCTATCAGATCATATTTTTATCTAACAACAGCCAACACGAAAAATGACCTCTTGGGTGAACTTGGTAAAATCGCATTTGCAACAACATATTGCTTCAGATATGCCTCAGTTACCTGTGATCGAGTTCACCTCCCTCAGCATAGATCAGACACAGAATGAGTTCAAGCATCACATTTCGTAAACAGATACGGCGCGGAGACAAACTCTCCTCTCCCTCCCCTCCCTCTGTGCTGGTTTCATTTGCTGTAACTGTATCCAGTTTCAGTTCATTTTCATTTGACGGGTGAGCTGGTAAAGTTGACACCAGGAACTGTCCAAACCTAGGAAAATAACGCATACGATATGAACAAAAGATACCGGCACCCACTTATATTAATTCACCCTTTGCAAGGTGTGCAAGGCAGCGGGCAAAGACACTAGTGTCCAATTGCCCGGGGCTAGTGGATTTTGCTATCGGGTTAGTGAATTCTGTTCTTGACTTGCCCCAACGGGCAAGTGAAGTGTTTTGGGGAATTCAAATTACAGAAGAGCTGCTCAATCCTCATCAAAATTTCGGGATAGTTGGGGTAACTTTTGGGCCACTACATGCACAGGTGTCCCAAGCTCCACAACAAGAGTGGAATGTAATTTACTTTCTCACAAGAGACTCGGTGTCGCGTTACAGGCGCCCTTTGAGATGCTTGAAAAAAAGAAACGCTTGCATTATCAGAGTCTCGCTGCTAAAGCTAGCTCGACTAAAAAGTAAAAATGATATATACCCGACAAATTTTCTGGTTTGCCCGACTAAAACGGTGACCTGGTCAAAAAAGAAAAATTATTTGCAATTTCATTTGGCACGAAGAAACAGCATCGCTTGTTAAATCATTTCAGTTATGGACGGACCCACCCAGGATCAGCCCCCTGATTCAGATTTGCATAATCTAACATAGAGGTTTGGCCACTGATTGCTAGACGTTCTGGAAATAGCAACGGTAGTTAAACCGTGCAGGCATATACCATGACCAAGCCTTGAGCCATCCAATGAGATATTCATCAAAATTGTCTAACCTAGTAACAAACTGCATTTCCACTTTGGTAAAGACAAGTGCAAACTCACAGTAAAAGCATTTAGGATGCTTTGGCTTGTGCTACTAGCATTACCTGAGTAAGTTCTTTCTCTCGCTTGTATTGCTCAGCAATACTGACAGGACACTGGCTATGGTATGTGCTGTAGGATCAGTTACACTGTCATCTTGAAGAACAAACAGCAGCTTTGGCACCAGATTCAATTTCTGCATCAAATCCGCATTGGTCTCTGATTCACTGAGGATAAAAAACTGACCTATTTAGATAAAATTGTTATACTATGTTACCACGAGAAGCAGCTGATCGTTTATTACTGGATTTGATAAAACATGATTTGCGAGTTCATCAAACAGGTTATAAATGGATGTGGATCTGTTCACTCTTGGAATACATCACATAACATAGTTGAAACGAAAAGGAAAAGGGGGGCTAAAACTAACCCGCCCACGACTCTCCTAAAAATGCCTGCAGGGGGGGGGGGGGGCTAGCTAAAACTCAGAAACATTTTAAATCTTAATTTTTCTGTATTTCCTTTATGAATTATTGACGGGGTTTATCGAGTCAAGTGCAAGATGGGAGGAATCTCGGAAGGCAGTAGATTAATTGATTGATTTATGAAGAAATTCTGCCCTGGATTAAACCAAACAATTACACTAATGAGCACAGATGAAGTCAAAAACACCAAAAAAGGATGATGGTGTCAAAAACGTTGATGATAACAGCTGCAATCATGCTGCTAAAATAGCACCCCGTGGCTGATAAATTTAAAAAACACTATATTTTTATCACCTTCCTGGACCTAACAGCTCGAGAAAGTGTGAGAATAATGACCGCTGCAAGTCAGCTGGAGCTTCTCGCCACACCTGCAACATGTAAAATATTACAACCACTCTTAGAAACAAGATGAAGTTGATCAGTTTAAATTGGACGGCTTTAATTTTAACTACAACTCACCTCTAGATCACAAAGTAGATCTTTGAATGCCACCTTGTTTGGTATAACAGATGATTCTCTGTCACTGTCAACTGTTCCGACCAAGGCAAATGTTAAGTGAAGAATGTGAGTATTGAGAAGATGCTTCTTCTTTCGCAGCAGTAACGCTAAGATCTGAAAATAACGAAGTCAAATGAATCAAGTATTTGTATACGTATTCATACGACTTCGAGTTCAATTTGGAATTTATTTGAATAAGTGTGATTTTCAAAAAGTATCAAAATTGCATGAGCCTGTAAGGAGAATGCAATTAGATCTTCTTGAAAGACACATGAGTGCAAATTAATTCCAAATTGAACGAGTAAACTGAAAACTCGTATGATTACCCTTTATTAATTTACATGCAAAAAATAGGCCACTTCCGAGTTCCAAAACCCTCACTTTCAAAATGAGGCTAGGCGCACAACCTTTCTTGTGAAAATAAGACATTTACCAGATGGTAAATGCAGTTAATGGAACATGAAGCCCCAGGGGGGGTAGGCTAAGGTAGCCTGCCCCAATGTATGCTCTGTTCGATCTTTAAAGCCTTATTTATGAATGAAAGCACGCTAATTTTAAGATACAAACAAAAGCTGTTCGTGGTTGGAACCTGACTAATTTGTCGTATGTTTGTCATCATATTTTTCTTAGCATCGCGCAGATTGGTCCCTGTTTTCAAGGCCCTATTCATGGCTAGACTTTAATCATGATAAGACTAGGTAGCTTATGGTACAACTGTATTCATTGGTCGAGATTTGAGACACTGTCTAGCTATAAACTTCTGCTATTGCAGACCTCGTCATTATTCGTTTAGCTTGCACGAAAGCAAACAGTTACAGTAATTTTGTTACCCACCCTCCCTCCCTATGGAGGAGTTTTGTTGTGTTAGGTATCAATAAAGTTTGGGGGGTCACTCCTTGTGGTGCGGTTAAGTCTGCGTTGCGACTTCCCCCAAGCTTTTGGCATTGCTTGTGTCTTGCCATCTTATTCGTTTGCCTTAATCTTGTCCGATCCAGTCCGTGCGGCGCTGGGGAGATAAGAAAGGCTCTGCCAATACTCTTGTCCTACCCCACGGTAGTGGGGCGATAAGTGAGGCTTGTGTTTTTGCTGTGTGCATAACCTGAAGTCGCTAGAACCTGCCACAGGGCTGCCCCCCCCTTATTACGCCATCTTGTAGTAATTGTCTTATTTGCCTGCGTGCGCTAATTAGTTGTGTTACTTTTTCATGCGTACCTTAAGCGGAATAGTGACATTAATGAGTTTTATTTGCACTAGAATAAAAATGATTTCCATATCACCTACCCTCGTTTTGAAACAGAGGCCCAGGGGAACTAGGAAATGGCCTATTCACTGGATCAAACTTCATCCCCTAAACAGTCCCACACAAATTTGACGAAAACCTACTCAGCCTAACCTCAAAGTTGCCAAAAAAGACTGCGACACCTGATTCATTCTTATATACTTCTATTGTTTATCAGCCAATCAGAGAGCTCCATTCTCTAAGATATGTGCACTTTATTTTCTTATTTTTGCACTATGTTTACTACAAACAGCATTGCTCTCAGCCAATCAAATTATCAGGAAACTAAGTGAAGCACTCCAGTCACTGTCTTTACCTGGTAGCCCCTTGTTCTCTCCATGTCTCTTCTCGCAGATGGATTACTTCGTAAAACACAACTGAGGGCTTTAACAGATGCATAAAGCCCCTCAACGTTTGTTGACATGGCAACCAATCCCAGCAGAGCTGTTACACCACCGATACACTCTATAAGCTTAGCCACTGGATTTGGACAGAATGTTCGCACTCCAGAACAACCAATAATGACAGCTCCAATAGTCCGCGATGAACCTTGAAGATGGGCAGAGGTGTTGTGAATCAAACGTACCGGTGTGGTGTTATCATGAGTTGACAGACCAAGCTGACAGAAAAATCAGGTGAAAATGAGTATATAAATCATAAAAAGGCGACGAGTAATGCAAGCGAACGAAATAAGCAAGTAGGCGTCAAAATCGCAAGGCGGCAAACACCTTGGTTTCGTATGCGATTTCTTATATTGTCTATTTCTTCCACGTCTTTTGACGTCTCCTCACGTTGTTCACTAGGTCTACTATCCGGGCACCTAATCCAGGAATAACTTCACCAAATATAAGACTACTGTACAGACAGATAATGCCTATCGTCTACATGATTGTTTGACTAGCCAACCAGTCAGTAAAAGCAAAGTGCTGTAGAGATAAAGAAACATAGATTTCCAACACGTATTTGTTGGTAAAAAAAAGGCAGGTTTCAGTTTTTCAATGTGAAAGAGGCATCCTTTTGAGTTTCGTGAATGGACATGCTTAGGTTTAAAAACCACAAAATTCAATGATTATAACTTCTAATATGCCAGTTACGGTTATGTCTTGGCCCAAATCTCTGGAATTAATGCCTGGATATTATAAATCTCTAACATCGTAAGCTGGAACAAATGAATAATAACGTGGAAAACCACTTGTCAGCTAAGTTCCACCTACCTCTCTAGCCACAGCTCTAGTGTCACTTCTTCTAAAATGTTTTCTGATCTTTGCAAGAGTGAGCACTGACTTAGCATGACCATGAATGCCAAACATCACTTTGTCTTCACTGACAAGTGGTTCAATGCCTTCTGCTCCATACTGAAAAAATTCACAAACAAAGGGCCACAAGAAAGCTCCCATTGCACTGTAAACTGAAAGCTTTTGACAAAGCAGTTTTAAGTACTATCACGGTCATAATTTGTTGAAACAGTTCGGAAAAACATAACATAAACTATGTGATTCACGAATACATTTATTGCTTCCCTCTCCTTTCCTCGATAGGGAGCTTAAAAGAAACGACGACAGCGGTGACGTCAAAAAGAATGATAAATGAGCAATAGGTTAAAAGCCTGTTTACATGGAGGTGGAAGACCCCAGGTAGGTGAGGTAACTCGCTTAGGTGGGGTAACCCGCCTGTCCATATAATCTCTCATTTTAATTTGATCACGTTTACATGATAGGTGGGGTGACCCGCCAAGGTGGGTAACCCGGTCTGCCAGACCAGCAAGCAAGAGCAGCAAGTGAGCGTAGAAGAGCATCAATCCAAAACACGTGGTTTGCCTGCATTTTTCTCGTTTACGTGCTTAGCGACCATTCAATAATCTTGAGAAAGTGCACCCCGGGATGGCGGGGTTGTAAGATTGCAAGTAAAGTAGGGTTATTTTTTCACCCAACCTAAGCGGGTTACCTGGAGGTGGGGGACCCCAGGTAGGTCAGGTGACATGTGGCGGGTCACCCCACCTATCATGTAAACGTGATTAAATTAAAATAAGAGATTATATGGAAAGGTGGGTTACCTCATCTGCCTGGGGTCCCCCACCCCCACGTAAACACGCCCTTAGACTGGCAAAACAACGACCCTGTACGTGCAAGACACTTTTTCGTACATTTCTTTGCCATCACTGCACGACTACAACGTGAAAATGCCTAATTTCACGTTTTTAATAATAATAATAATAATAATAATAATAATATTTAATACTTATATTGCGCTTTTTCTATAAAAATACTCAAAAGCGCCTGAACTTCCATACCGTTTTTTAGCATTCAAGTCCAGTAAAAATTGCCAACATTTGACGAATTGAACGAGGTGGAATAAGCGCGATAAAGTTTGAAGCAGAGCGACTTCACTTTTTAAGTGACGTTTTTGTAGCCGTCGTCGTCTTTGTTCCTTAAGCTCCCTAATGTTGTTTTCAAGGGTTTACCTGGGCATAAACGTCTGCAAAATCGACATTGAAGGGGAGGAGGAGAAGAAAACGGCAAACGTTTCAACAATTATGACCGGGATTGTAGGTGGCATCCTCAAGCCAGCTCACCAGTGTGAGCTGAGCTGTTGTTTAAGTAATGCATTTAATGTTAGTTAACCTATTTATTACGTTTTTATTCTGCTGTTTTGTGTGTGTGGCAAAATAATAAATAATCAATAAAAAAATAAAAAGGCTTTCAGCATTATTTTTTCATTATTTTGTCATGTAACTTAACGTTAACGAAGGAATAACTTGTAAACAACAAAATCACAGCTTCTTGCCCAACAAATAGGTCTCCCATGCAAGCAGTATATCAAACGTTACCAAAAACAAAAATGCATCGCGAAAATGTGTCAGGCTGACAAATTTTCAAAACCTACAATTGCAATTAGTTTTAATCTTTGTGAAGTTTGTCCATCCGTGCCTTCTACTGTATTTGCCTTGTTATTTTATTATATCTTCCTTGAATGGTCTGATTGGTTATTCTTATGGTTTCACTCAATTTGGTGACAGTCCCTACTGTCAGAATTTTGATAAATTTCGTGACACAGCTCACGAACCTGCATGAAAAAAGAACCGTATGGGAAACACTAGCGTTTGTCAAATTCGCGATTTTGCTTCTTGTGTGCATTTCTGGAAAAAAGTGGTCAGTAGTCTATTCAGGAGCCAAAAAGTAACCAAAAGGCATTAGAGTTACATAACTTGTGTCGATGTGCTCCTTGGCATTTCAGAGCGATTCCAGCGTCTTTGAGTTGCTACTTTTTTCTCTCTCTACATATCATATGATACAACAGATATACAGCTATTTCGAGAAAGGTTGTCGGAAAAATGTGCACGCGACAATCCCGAGAGGTAATATGGGATATGTTCAATACACTGTTCGTGACACTGTAGTTGTCGAACCAACTTTTGTTGCTTTCCTTTAGCACTCACAGACATATGTCCATGGCCTCCCTTGCCATTCTTTCAAATTTCTTTGAAAAACAGTGAACTCAAAACCACCCACAATACCTTTCGGGGTTGTCGCGTGCGCTTTTTCCGACAACTTTTCTCGAAATAGCTGTATACTAGACGGACCTTACCTAGTCCCTCTACGGCGTTTTCCCAGTCCCTCTCGGTCAATTCACTTCGGTAACGTATTCGAGGCGAACAAGCGTGAAACATTTTCGCTTGGACCATGTGACCCGAAACGCTTTGGCAGGGCGGAATAATGAGGCCTAGGGACTAGGCAAAGACGGACCTACGCTTTTATAGGTCTAACTGACTCAGGACCACTTACCACTGTAAGTTGACCTTCAGGGCAGGGTGCCTGGAAGCTTCCAACATAGTTAGGACCCAGTCTATACATCTCTTCAGCAGTTGAGCCAGACAGTGGTTCTTCTATTAGGTGGGTGGGGCCAAGTCTCCATAGCAACCGTGAACACCTGCGGTAGCCGGGGTTAGGTGGTGTTCCAACGTAGGCAGAAATGTATGGAGCCACACTGATTACAGCGGCATCTGGACTAGCGGCAGCAGCCTGGATGTACTTTAACTGAAATTAATACGATATCATGAAAACAAAAATGCTTTTTTAATGTGGCTAAATGAAATTTAGGCTAACTCGATACAGTGCTGGCAAGCTGTCTCTGACTCGTCCCCAGTCGTCTCTCATTATTAGTATTAATGAGTAGAGACAACTTAGAGACGACTGGGGACGAGTCAGAAGCTGTCTCTCTTGTCGGTGATATGAGGGGCCGGCCAAATCGCACAACAGAACCTCCATTTAATGAACCTCTATATAAATCTTAAGTCTTCGCTATAACGAACGGCATTCTTCGCCCAAGAAGTTAAATATACGGAAAATAACCTCGATATAACGAAACCTTTTTATAGTGATCATGTTTTTTTCAAAGCCAGGATGAAAAACTAATCGCGAGTTTGATATAACTTGCTTAACCTTCCCAGGATTGACCAACAGTAATTTTCTCCTATGAATATCAATACACATAAAGACAAAAAAGTATGAGAATAAGTTAAATGATCGCCTAGAGAAATACTTTGATCTTTTTTTCAAAATCTCCCAAGTAATTTTTTTCAGGAAACAAATGAAGATCTAGGAAACTCCCCACCTACCCCTCCCCTAAGCCAGCATTAACACTTACTTCTCACTTAGTGTAAAATGTTGCCTTAGGGGAGGGGTAGGTGGGCAGTTTCCCAGAAACGTGTAATAATCCAGAATTCGCATGTGGATATTGGGGCTTACAGAGTCTACTAGAAAACAAGGTTAAAGGGGCTAATCACCAGGATACTACTGCTTTATGTCAATTCTGTGCTGATTTTTATTACTTTACCCATCTACAAAATGCTGCTGTAGAGTTGTGAAGAAGATATCAAACAAACTTTATCAAGGCGCACTATCCATAATATTTTTGGGTGATTTTTGCAGGCCTAGCACTATAACTTGAAAAGGTTGGCCCACTTGCAGCAGATAACAGGAAACAATTTTAATGCCTAAATACAGTCTTCAATGACAAAACTGTACAATTATTTTTGGAATTCAATTGATACGAAAAAAAATTCAAAGCTTTTGAAAAAGATAGCAAATAGTGTAACATAGCCCTATTAAGTCCAGACTTTGACTCACTCTGCAAGTTGCTACATGTTTCCCGTCCACAAACAAAGCGCAAGTGCTGTTTCTTATTAACGCCTTGTTAAGGACAACCATGACATGATGCCAACGTCCTTCCTCTAACAACTGGTCACTCAGAAACCTGGCCTCTGTGTGTTCACGGTCACGATGAGCTTGCATTGGTCTCGAGTCCACATCATCAGCACAGCCAGTTTCATCTGTGCAAACCTGTCAATAAATCAAAAACACACACAGCAAGTTTTCATTTCAAGGTTATTGTAGAGGCATAGCTGCGTGTGACAAGAGGAGCCTGCAATCTAGGTTTAGATAAAAAGAAGGAAACAAAGAAACAGAGATACCATACCACAAGCATGCGATCTCGGGCTGAAATACTGATGGCCAAACACGGAACATTGGGGACTTTCTCACTTCCGCCGCGGAATTGTCGCATGATTGTCAATAGTCTGACTGGATGTTGATCTTCTGTGGTGCTACTGTACTGGTCAATACATACCCAGGATACAAATGTTAAACCAGCTTGCGGGGGAAACATTCTTTCCCCTACTCCTACCCCAGGGACACCACCCATCACAGCCGCAGGGGCCATTACAGAGCTTACTGTAGCAATGCCTACATTAAAACCAAAGACACATGTCAAAATTATTACCACAGTTCACCAAATGCAAGATTTAAACATACACATATAATAAATTATGGGAATACTATTTAACGGTATAGGTTGATAATGGCTACAATGAAATGTATTTTAAGCGGATGCCAAACGGACACTTCCAAGTGTCTGCTTAATAATAGTTCATTTGAATGAAAATAAGGGAAGAACTTTATAAGATTTATAGATGCCTTAGTCTCCTGTTTCACTGTTGCAAAAATCTTAAAATTGGATACAACAGCTCCTGTTACAACCCAGTCAAAAGTACCAGACGTTAGCAGACGGGCCTTTGAAACCTTCGGCAGATACCTCAAGATAGAAAATCAACGTTTGTGTTAATTAAGGCATTTGAAAGAAACGCGACTGAAACATGAAAGAGGTGGTTAATTTTATTAATGCATCGTAAGGAAAGAAACATAACTTGCTTGAAAGACAACAGGAACAAATTTATTTAACACTAGCAATAAAATTCGAAATGAAAAAAAATTGTTTGCCATACTTTTCCTAAAAGAAAGGGGTTAGGCCAAGGAATCAGGCCACTTCGAGCGGTCTTCATAGTTTTTGTAATACTAGGTGGATGCCACCTAGTCAGTAGTGTGGAAATTAAATAATGATAACAAAATTAATGTGATGACGTTGTGAATATATGAAAATCATATATGAGAACTGCCGGGTGAATAATTCAACCAATTCAACGACCTGCTCCCAGTTGGCTTGCTAACTCAATTTGTAAGAGCGCTCCACCAGTATCGTAGCGACAAGGTTTCGAATCCCATACAAGCCTGAATTTTTTTTCAGGCTTTCTTTTCGCAACTGCAAAAGTTGTGTCTATAACTGTGATGATCTTCTTTCATATGAAATTAATGTGACTTAAATTAATGAAATTTTAACGAGATTTTCCTATAACAATGTAGTTTCAAGAAAATATGTACAGCCAATTCAATGAAAGGTCATCACATTAACTCACTTGTGCTTCATACAGTTAGAAGTAAAAAAAGCTATGTGTACGTGTCAAACACCTTACTACATGTATTTTAAAGCAGCCTCTTAGCAGAATCTTGGAAATGCTTAGTAACATAGTTTATAGTTTTGCTGGATGTTAACTCGCAATAAATCTTACCAGCTGAGACTTGTGGAGCAATGGCTGGCAAAAACAGACATCCAAATCCATCCACACTCATGTCAAACTCAACAAATGATGGACAGTCAGTAACCCCATGTGCTCTTGCATCCCTTGGAGTTGTCATGGAAACCACACACTTGACGCGAGTAAGTGACACAGGACCACCACCAAGCACCTGACACGAAATCTCTTCTTCCTCATCATCATCTTCATCCTCATCCTTTTCAATTGCTTCTGAATTGTCTTCCTCCTCATTTAAGGGAACAACTCCCTGCTGATTAAAGCTGCTGCAGTCTGAGTCTAACGGAAGCTCCGCAAGCTGCATAGAAAGTCTCATGCTCATGTCATCGCAGCTTACATCAGCAACTTTGTGTGGGGTGTCTGTGGTAGTAGTATCACTGCTTGTAATTAAACCTCCTGTAGTACTACTCACAGGGTCTCTCTCTGGGATACCTATTGAAGTAACCTCAGGTTCTATATTTGGACTTTCCACTGTACTAACAGTTTCTGTGCTTAGGATGCCTGCAACTTTTCTAGTCTCTGTTGTTGGGGTATCTGTGGCCATGCCAACAGTTTTTGTTCTTAACAAGTTCCCATCATCTTCTGACACAATGTCAACACTTGTTTCAGAATGTTTTCTTTCAGGGGTCAACTCAGCAAAACCATCGCTGTTGTTTGCTTCTGTTTCTCCCTTGACATCTAAAATAACCAAATCTTCTCCTTGGTCAATTGAAGAAACAACTTGATCAGTGTTACCAATTGTGTCTATATCAACACCATCAACCTCAGCTGTTACTAAATCTTGTCGCTGTTCACTGGGCCCCAGGCTAACTTGATACCCTGGATTAGAATTCAAGTCGCATATAGAATTAGAATCCATATTATGTTCAAAAGGTTGTTTTCTTGCCGTTGTTTTATGCCTTCTTGGAGGTCGTTGAGGTGGAGTGTCATCATCTGTTTCACTAGCTACAGCTGGGCTTTGCTCTGGAGATGTTTTTCCTGGGGTGTCATTTGTCACAATCATATAGTCATCCTCATCAGAATTTGACTCAACGTCAGATCCAGATTCTGAACTGGGAACAATCATACTTAGCATTACATCTCTGAATGTCAAAGTATTTGGTCGTGCATCTGCATCAGAGTGTTTTCTACTAACAAGGTCTGACAGTTTTCTAGGAGTAACTATAACATCTGATGTCTTCTTGAATGACTCGTCAGCACACTCCTTGTCAATTGACTCATTATTTGGCAACTCTTGGTTTTGCTCTTCACTGTTTTTGTTTTCATGAATGATTGTGTCCTCCTCATCCAGTTTTGATGGAAAATCATTGATATCATCTGAGGCTTCAAGAGATTGACTATAAAGTGGGAATCCAAGTCGCAGAAAATCCCTACAACAGAAGAACAAAATACTATGATGAAAATTCCTCCTTTCAATACCAGAGTCAAAAAGTCAAATGTGCAATGTTCTTAAAGCTGTAGCATGCATACAAAGTTACAAGCTTCTGCATTGCATAATTGCATAATGAAATAATCATGGTTGTTAATGGTGTTCACCCCACAAGCAACCTTGGTTATCTATCGAATGATAAATTCATAAACAACTATGATTATCATTAAGCCTTTACTTCTAAAGGAAGAATACATTTTTAAAACGGCTGGCTGTAGCCTTTGCATTTGTGTTTAGATCTTGGAGTGGAGCCAGACCTTAAGGTAACAGGTGGCTTGCCCATCCACACCTTTGCGGTTTTGTGGAAAAAATAGTTTTTGGCAGAATAGACTGGGGAAAGGGGTCTTCAAGGGCAGATTTAGGGGTGGGCCAAGGGGGCCACGGCAACCCCTTTTTCTTTGAAATTTTGAATTATTTTTTACAGAATTCTTAGAAAAATAAAAAGCATCTATATAGCCGGCAAGTGGGCAAGCATGCCGGCCACCCCTTTCTGAATTTTATGGATCTGTCCTTGGTCTTGGTTTGGTCTAAAAATAAGGACAGGGGTGCTCCCCTAGATCCATCACTAAGTTCTCAGGTGTTGTTATTCCCATAAAACCTCAATTTGATCAACAGTTCTATTGAGAGTCACTAAGGAGCTTGATGCATTGCTAAAATCCTGTACAGCTGTACCTCAATACTGTAGGTGTTAGTGACTGTGAGGCAAGTCTTTCAAACATTCTCTGCAGTGGAGCATGTAACGGATGCAGCTCAGTGACAAGGGCTGCTTCACATCTGTCAATTATTTGTTGAGGCAGCCCTGCTTCACACATCACTTGCTGGTTATGTTCACATTTTAATAGATTCTGTAAGTTACAGATCCAGTAAAGTTGTAGCTCCACACTTCCCTGTAAAACAGTGTTAATAGTGTTGGGTTAAAAGCATCCACATCTGCTAATTCAGGATGATTTAATTACCTTAAGAGGCAATTTCACTCTCATCCCAAAAGGACATTTCTGTATAGAATTGGTGCAAGGTGACTTACAGATGTATCAAACAATGGAAAGTTAACCCTTTTAATGATAAAAAGACCGCACAGGTTGTTAAGATACATGTAATATTAAATAACGGGCTTAACAGAAGACATCTATGCTCAGTGTCCTTGGGTTTCAACTGCTTCAAAATAAAATTATAGATTGTCCTGAGTTGATGCTTAAAAACAACAATTTGTGCTGTCTGGAGGAAAGTGAAATACAAGGATAAGGCTGCCTCTTTAATGTATTATTTTTCACTACATTATCAAGTTCTCTACCTCAGTCAAAACACTGTCATTCCTTTCTGATATGGCTGGGAGTAGATCCATGGCTGCTGTAATGGCCCCGGGATGATAAATATAAGGAACACCCATCCCACTTCTGCCACATGTACTTTCCAACTCGACTGAACACACAACACTAGAGCCACTTCTTAAACCAAATGAATCTGTGGCCATGTCAAAGAGATTTTTTAGCATCTCATTTGCAGCAAACAAAACTGAGGTAGGATCAATTTCCAAAGTTCCTTCAAATGTCACTGATGACCTGATGGAGTCAGTACTCTCCTGTGTGGACAGTGGTTGATGCTGTGTTCCTGACTGTGAGAATTGTTTTTCAAATATCCTCCATTTTTTATTTTCATCTCCAGTGTTACATGGTGGTACATTGACAGTATTCAAGGAGAAACATCCAAGTAAACGGATTGTGTCTGAAAGCCCTCGGAATCGGATCTGTAACAATATTATTTTATTACTTGTAAAAAATAATTCACATTGCCCTGTATAACACAGCAAATTGTGGTAGGCAACTCCCATGAAAGAAGAACCTCTCTCTCTAAGATCAACATTTCTCTAAAAATAAAAGCACTTTGCCAAGGCAGGCACTTTTCTGATGGACACCTCTGTAAGATACACTTCAAGTCTCACTCAAAGTCTCTTGACACATCTCCCCTATTCAAATCAGTTCCTGTGATGGACCTCAACAAAAATCAACAGTTCAATTAAAATAATATAGAATTCCTCCAAAAAATCCATCTAGAATACACAATACATTAACCCATCCATTAAATAATCCTGAATCTTTAGGAACACCTATCTCTTAAAAAGGCAGAGTATGACCCAACTCCTCATATGGAACCAGAACAGTTACAAAATCTGGCAACAAGGTGGGACAAAACCAAAGAAATGTTCACCACGTTGGAAAAATGATGTGCCTTTTTTTAAAAATATCCCTTAGTTACTCGAAAATCATACCTCATCCATGAAGTTCTTATTGGCTGGATCATCTTGAATGGCAGCTGTCAGTACATGGAAGACTATTCGCAGAAGTTTTAGAATATGAGTTCGATTCGCTATAATAAAAAAAAAAGAAAAACTGTTCAAAGCTGCCACTTTATGCAGTGCAAGATCCAGTGCTCACAAAAAGATAATATTTCTCAGAAAGAAAATGATACCATAGCTTTGATGGGTATTGAAATTTTTTCAGAAGGAATTAGATACAATGAAAAAGTTATTTTAATTTGAGCCTTTTTACCATTAGAAAGACAGATCAACATTTCAGGGTGCAAAGAAAGTCCATTTTACAGCATGCCATTTGTGCAAGCTGTAGCTAGCATACATGTACTAGCCCACAAGTCATTTCAACTAGCCCCAAAACCCTTTTCGATTAGCAGGATTGATTACAATCCTTCTGTAATTTGAATTTCCCCCAAAAAAACAGCACTTGCCCGTCGAGCAAGTTAAGAACGAAAATCACTAGCCCAATAACAAAATCCACTAGCCCCCGGCTATCGGACACGACTTTCTTTGCACGCTGGACAGTACATGAGTAAATCAGGGCTTCTGATATTTCGCGGGAAAAAAAAGCAAAATTTCGCGGGATTTTCAGGGGCAAATTCGCGGAAAAATCGGCCGATTTCGCGGGAAAACAGTCAAAATTTGCGGAACAATTGGCCGATTTCACGGGAGAAAAGTCAAAATTCGCAGAAAAATCGGCCAATTTCGCGGGATTTTAGCGGAAAAAAGTCAATTTTCACATTCGAAGAAACAATCAGTAAAAACAGCCGATTTCGCTGGATTTTTTTTCGTAAATTTCGCTAAAATCGATCAATTTTGCGTCGATATGACCAGCGTTGGTGAACGTTTTTTTAACAGGGATAATCATTTGCTCTTTCCACAACAGTTCGCCGAGAAATGAGCGAATGTTAAAGCAACATTATGGTTAGTGCCCAGTTTTTGCAACGCTCATCTAAAAAGCCTGGTAGTTTTGGGACGTTGTTTACTCGTTGCAGTGACGAAGTTTCAAGCTAAATTTGGACGTTTGGGGTGAATAAAACCGGTCTAATTACCGACATGTATTTGGAAATATTTCTGGTGGATTTCTCGGTATTTCGCGTTTTTTTGGGAATTTCGCGGGATTTCGCGGAAATACCTGAATTTCGCGGGTCCGCGACCGCGCGAAATATCAGAAGCCCTAGTAAATTGTTAGAAAAGTGCCTTAAAGTAGGTTCAATCTTTGTAATAATTTGTTAAATATTGGCATTCTTTATCCAAGCCCACATTCAAATTATATGAAACATGACCTATCCTGTCTTCTCCTCACCATCCTTCCATGCCACTGAGACAGGATCAGCTAAGCTTCCTTCCATGTTGATCAGTACTGACATCACATACACAAACCCTCCCACCTCCCTGAACACAGCTCTTGTTTTAGGGTCAAGATCAAACACCTTCAGCAAAGCATCTAACACATCCGATTTTAGTTTGACCTCTGATGGAGGAGTAGAATGCATTAAGCCAAGAAGTGTACCTACAAAAGAAAACACAGCTCCTACCATTAATTTACATCAAATCAAACACACTGTTCACCTAGCCTGAATTTCACACAATTACTTCAAGTCGTTTTTACTCCCTCAGCAACATCTCACTTGACCGGCTGTTAATGCCGTCCAGTGAGGTCACTACCTGAAAACCAGGAAGTGATTTTGATTGGTTGATTGTCCAAACATTCACAAAATTATGTACTATAATTATGAAAAATTGTAGCAGGACTGTTGTTTGATAATCAGCGGATTGCATGCCGGGCAAACACTGTACTTGCCTGAAGTTCAATAATAAATAATATATTTCAACAATCTTTATCATAAACAGCAAATTGCCCTTGTCTTCTAAACTATGAATAATTGTTAAATTGAACTACAAATGAAGAATCATTGAGAAGAGTCGGTAGGTTTTCCATTTAGAGCTGCTTTGTGGTTTTGGCAGTGATTTTGTCTATGCAAAGTTTTCTGAGATTTAAGTTATAATTCGACCTTCTGTTAGCATTTCTTTCTTGTTTTCTTTCCTCTTCGTTAAGGACCAAAGAGCTTCTTGTCAATTAAAGGAAATTGTTGCATTTTTGAAGTCTTTCGTATGTGTATTTCTTTCATTGCGTGATTGTGATTGAGTTTGATTATTGAATTACAACAGACTCACTCAGAATACTGCATGCAGTTGACAGTTTGAACGTTGAACATGAATTATGATCAAAAAGAGTTTTTCAATTATGTAAAATGTAGACATGTCCAGACAATGTTTCTCTGTTTGCCATTTTACTTTTTGCATAAAGTAAAGCAAAGGAGCAGTGACGTCATTGGACAGCATTAATGGCTGGTCAATTCAGACATTCAGACATGTGTCACTTACAAGCATCAAGCTATAACTAATACAGTAAAAAAAAAATTAAATCCACTTTTCAATTTTTATCTTACCTAGATCATCATTACCACCGGCAAGAATCAGTTCTCTGATAATTTTCAGGGCTTCTGTCCTAGATGTGGAGTATGGTACAATGTCGTGGATGCATCTTGCTCCACCACATTCACGGAACATGGCGGCATTGGTTGGATTATTTTCCAACAGAAGTCTGAGGCATCCCATCAGCAGAAAAGGATAATCAGTAAGAGCTGCATCTACACTGTCCTCAAATGCAGCACTCTCATCCGGTTCTGAATTGGAGTCTTTCAGAGCTTCTGATTTGAAAAATAAAAATTGATTACCATTATTATATCAGTTTATATGAATAAATTATGAATAAAAATTAACAAGCAATTCTCACAGTAATGCAGCTAATCCAAGGAGGGGTAATATAAAATTGATTGGGATGTTTATGCTGTGTAATTAAGAGTAGGTTAAAATGGTTTCAACCTATATGGGTTTACTCTCATTTGCCTTTGTTTTCTAGCCCTAATTATTCATTCATGATCCTTTCTTGAGGAAAAGAACTAGAATTTATTTCAGAAATACGAAAGTGACTTACATTCATTTCTGGGCCCAGAAAAAAGAAAAAAGTTATGATTACCAAAGGTTTCTCTAAGACCATTTCTTTTGAGGTTGTTTTCACACAACAAACCTAAACAACACTACAATGGAAGTGACAGGGAAGCAAATTACAGGACAAGTACAGTGTACTTGCTTGTACACTTCTTATCACTGGTACTTTTTGCAAAGAGCCAATGACTAAAAGTTTTACAATTTGGTTTCAGAAGCACAGAATGAAGAGGAAATATTGTTACCAGTACAAATGGCACGTAAATTATTGTGTGTTGATACGTAACAAATTAAGGCACAAAGTTTGTTTTATCATGAAATTAGTTCCATAAAGAATGCCACAAATAGCTTTTTGGGTGTTCCTGTGCCAAATGTGCAAAAAAATGGTTCTGTTGACCCTTAGCTGGGTATGGAAAAGCCAATATTTCTTTAAAAAACCCTTTGAAGACTGTAGAAAAGCTCTTTTCACATCCTCAAGCTCTCAGCAAATGGTGGTATACAATCATGTATGGACCATTTTTCCCACAAGATCGTTTTGGATTTTCATTCTGATTGTGTCATACACTTCATAATTGATTTGAACACAATATACATCAACAAGTTTATAACAGTTTTGCGATAAATGTGGCTATCAGTTCATTGCTGATCTAGAGGTAGTTTTCCTAGATGGTTGTGTGTCTTTCTAGGTACATATTATATTGGCACGGGTACGGATCAACATGTCCATTATAAACTTACCATCACGCTTTTCCTTTAAATCAGTGGCATACTGTTTGAGACAATAGGTAAGCACTTCCAGCACTCCAACATCTCTGAACACTTCTTTGAATTTGGGATCATAACTGACAATACGGATAAGAAAGCAGAGGGCTCCTTGATGGCAATCAGACAAACTGGAAAAACAGAAGAAAATAAAAAGATATCTTCATCAAACGGATCTTGAAGATATTTCTTTACTACCTCGACTCCACACAATGTTCAATTGCCCTGGCGAAATCCTGAGAAGGCACACTAGTAACTTGTGCATATGTTAAGGAAAGACTTACAGTTGAATATACAATCAGTATGCCAGAAAAAATCTTGATTTGCTTCAACAGGGGCTGCGGGGAATCGGTAGGTAATGATGTTTCTATTGTTCACACCCATAAGAGATGGTTACCCGTAGGTAGACTTTGCCACATTTATTGTTTAGTCATACTTTGCTACTCTTTAACGTCACCTGTTATCAGTGACATTCTGTGGAGCACCTGTTTTGAAAGTTATGGACCAAAAGAGACTTGTTAAGTGCAGATAAAGTTATAAGGTGTGTTTAACTGTGTATATATAAACACTTGAGAGTGTGCCAGACATTAGTTCACAAATCTTGGATTGGAAATAATTTTCCAGACACTCTTTCTCTCTCTTTGAGGGAATAAGACTCAGTCCTAAACAAGCAAGACGAGTAAATCAACCGCCAGCTTATCACTAGCAGAATGATGGACGATTACAGAAATTCGCTGACAATCAAATTCTGTGCTGACTTATTCCCTGCTCACAGATGTCCTTTAATTTATAAAGTTTAAAAAAAGACTAGGATGCACAAGCGTGAATTGATCAAACCTTTTAATTTCTAAGGCTTTCCTTCCGGCAAATAAAATGAACTGTTTGTAAAAAGTGAAAGAGAAATAGCAAAAAATTCCAACTTCTTATTAGAATTTATCTTTCTTATGGTTTAGAATAAACTATTCTCGAAACTGAGAATGTTTTCAGATCAAAGCTGTGTAAGTCAAAGTGAAACAGTGCATGGAACCTTGCGTTTCCTGTTGTTACTCTCACCTGTTGTATGGAATATGGTCAAACTTGTGTGAAAAACTTACTTATGAATCAATATAATAATATTATTTCAAAGAGCTACACAATGACCAAGAATACTAATGACCAACAATATACAGAGCAGAGGCAGCAGTCAACTATTATTAGTTATTTCACAACTAAGGCAGGACTTGAAATAACAGCTGGTCAATGAACTATGTCCAGTCAGAAACTGGGTATTGACTGGTTTAACCCTTGAAGAGACCTTTCCCTCATTACGCTCCAGTGAGCAAACATAAAGAAACAAGGACAAGGCTCAGATGGACATTTTCATACAAATCACTGTATTGTCTCCATCCGAGCCTTAACTTGGTGCCTTTTTTTACAGCAATGCAGGAAAGGTCTATTGCCAGACATGTCTCGTCATGGCCCTTTTAGAGAAAATATGTCAATTAAATTTAGTTCATAATCACCTTGTTGCAGTACCGGACAGAGAACAAAAAGGTTACACATACTACATTATCTACTTCAAACTCTGGATTTTGCTTTGTTGTATAATTTCTCTAGCCAATGATTCTGTGGGCTTTAGTTTGTTCCCTTAGTATTGGACTCATTGTTTTGACACTTTTCCATATCTATATTTGTTTGTATTATGTTAAATAATATTACTGGTCTTGCATCAGACTTTTAAGTAAAATACTATCAACTCTTTCCTGTTACAGTGAAACCGGTTGTTCATTTGCACGCCACTTTGCAATATTGTCACGCAATGTTGGTATTTTGATTGGCAGTTTGCTCCGAGCAAGTTGCGATTCAAATTTCAATTTGCTATTCAAATATTGTGAGTTGACTGCGATGGCAAGCAACATTACCTCTGTTTCAAAGAGGGAAAAAGTAATTTCCCTCTGGTCGCCGGGCTATCGAAATAAAGAAATCACCTAAAACATATTAAAGTAAAAAATACAGTTGCAAACGAAAACAGTTTACTGCAATATATGTTTGTAGTTTTAGAGCTTGTTGTTAAGTTCTATTGATTCATCTTGTTTACATTCCTTTGTCGACATAGTTTTGCTCTATGATTGCCTTAATTACCCTTGCATTTCATATTATTTCAGTTTTATAATACTGTAGAACACTGATGCTTGGTTAAGTTAGTGAATAAACACAATCTTGCTTTTATTTGACATCTGTGTGTACTAAAAAGGTGTTTGTGTATACATTCCCACTGTCCGGTATTTGGACCCGTTCAAAACAATTATGAACTTCATTTTTATACTATATTAGGCACACATATCACACGCATTGTGTGGAATTCGCGAGGCTTTGGACAGAAAGTAACTTTTAACTGACAAATCCACAATGACTGAAAATGTTTTGCGAAATAGCTGGCGTGATTGTTTGCAAACCTTGAATAATCGCAAGTTCTGTGAAGTTAATTGAAAACTGTTCGTGTTGTCTCAAATATGCCTTCATCGACCTAAAACAAAACTCACAAGAATTAAACTCATAACTATAAGGGGGTTAAAAAATTAATTCAACACTGCGATTTCTTAGCATTAAGTGCAACTGGTTTTCCGCGAAAACTCCGTGGTGAAAGCCGCGGTTGTCCATTACAATAACATATCTCCATTCGATTCCCCACATGGTCTACAGCTTGTAAACTTTCTTCGAAGAAATGAATCATTTCAAATCCATTAGAAGGGCCTTCCAAAATATTAAAGTTATCAATACCAAAACGGCTATGGAGAAGGTTTACAGTGTAGTTACAGTTCGAGGCGTACCGTTGGATTTCAACTGCTGGAAGCCACATTTGGAGTAGCGACTGTGTGCGTTCTTTCCTTCCTGGTTTTCCCGGAGCCGCCGTCCCATTTTGCAGGAACTTTGAAAGGATATTGGAGACGGTTTGATGTGAAAGATGAAGTCTTGAGCATATTTCTTTATTTCGATAGCGCGACAACCAGAGGGAAATTACTTTTTCCCTCTTTGAAACAGAGGTAATGTTGCTTGCCATTGCAGTCAACTCACAATATTCCAATATGAAAAACCGTTTGCTCAGGCAGCAAATTGAAATTTGAATCGAAATTTGAAACTTGCTTGGAGCAAACTGCCAATCAAAATACCAACATTGCGTGACAATATTGCAAAGTGGCGCGCGAAAAAACAACCGGTTTCACTGTAATATGCAGTTTTTGTGTACATATATGTCTGTGTGATTATGCTAAAAGGTGCCTGCTAAGTTTTTGCTTGAACACGGGCGATGTTCAAGCCAGTGTAGCCGAAAACCAGGGGGCTTGCCGTCTCGCTGGGTGTCAGCTGAGAGCCCAGGCCCAAACCTATCCGTGGGTGGGTGGCTTCCTTGTTTTGTGTGAAAACCAGGGGGTTAGGGAGGGGAGATTCTGTCACTTTGATTAGAGTCTTATGTCAGAAAGCAGTGCAAAGTCAGAGAATTTTTCCTGTGGCCTAGGCCAGCCAAATCAATGCGGAGACTCATAATCATAACACTACTAGCAGAGCTTGGGGGAAGTGATTGATTAGTCATAAGCTTCATGGGTGGGGAGAATTGCTCCTTGGACTTGACCATCTAGAGACTCAGTACAGGCACCTTGTAAGAAATCCAGACAGATGTATAAGCTTTATAATAATAGTGAGGCATTGTAAACCTAAAAAATAAAATACTGTAAAATGCCACCTATAAGCACTGGGCTCATACATCTCGGTAAGGGGCTTTAGGAGGGCTTCTAGGAGGTCAAATTTGATTTCAGGTTATTTTTTATATACATGTAACCTACGTTGATTCTCAATCTGCAATGTCTCCTAGCCCTAGAAGACAAAGGAAATTGAGAATCAATCTAGGTTGAAAAAATTTAACCTGAAATCAAATTTTGCTTGAAACATATCCAAGGAGAATTATAGTTGGAATAGAAAAATCACTTTGAAACAAAATAGCAATGCTCATCAAAATTTGTTTTGCATTTGCTGATTTTAAACAAAGCTTCAAAATGTCATAATACATTGAATTTATTTTAATATGTAAAAATAAAATCTAGAAGAGGGCTTATAATCAGCTACAGTAGTTTTAGATGGGCCTATAACTGGGGAGTTTAAAGTGGCAGTTTATGGATATTATAGCTCAGGAACTTCCTGATAATTAATGGAACAAGAAAAGATTATATCTTACCTCTTGTTTTTAAAAAGCAAGCTGACAGAGATCAACTCAGGACATGGAACCCAATTCAAATTACAAATCACCAGTTCCAAGATCTTGAAGGTTTTCTCCTGTACTTCAGTATCTTTGTCTGGTGCCTTCTCAATAAACAGGGACAAGGTATGTTGTGGTTCAAGGATGAAAAAATTGGCATTATCAGAACAGTAGATGTTATTGATGCAATCCAAAATGTTAAGGCAAAGAAGTTTGTCTGATGTCTAAAAGAAAAGGCAATAACCACTTGAGTACTGCTGCAAATATATCAATACCTATAATTATTCATGGAGAGTTTGCTTGGTACCACAGAGGAGGCAATTTGAATAAACTAAAGTTCTGGCACTGAATATCAAAAGGTGGTAAGCTACATACATGTATGCTGGACAAGTTCAAGAACATGGCTGGTTTTCAATTAAGGCATTGTTACTGCAATATTGTAGACAATGTTTATGAAATTTGCAAAAAAATTAATGTATCTGAAAAACAATTCAAAGAGATTCAAGAACATTATATCCACCCTCTCAGTGCCATGCAATCTTTAACAAACTAAGTTATCAAGGCAATGATATTGGGATAAGCAGGCAATCATTGTGAGCTTATGCACTCCCATAAAAGGAATTGGTTTTGTTTAGAATATTACACATAGTAATAGTGGTATGCACAGTAGATAATAACTTAGTTAAAGAAAATAATAATATCTGGTAAACTTTAAAAGCCTGGACTCTGCAACACACACAGCCTAAAATAGTTCAGATTGTTTAAACTCCTTGCAGCCAGACAGTGACCAGGAACCACTTGACAAGCCTTACACAACACTTCTTGAAAAAAATTCTTGGGCAAATGGGGTGCAGCCAAAAGGGAAACCCTACGCTCCAACCTCTGTATAAGCAATATGTAAGGTATGAAAATCTACCCTCCTCAATCTCCATAATTCTTCAGTTGACACCAAAGCCGAATTCATAATTGTTTCATTATTCATTCAAAATAATTCCTACTTTAAAAACAAGCTAAAACATGCTTACATGTACCTCCATCAATGTTAAGTACATCTTCAATAGAGCATGTTTAATGGCAAGTTTAGGAGATAAACATCCTCGGAGATCCAGGGGCAGATAGTGGGGGCGAGGGAAAGTCTAAATGGGCGCGAAAATATGGCACAAAGAAAACTTTTGTAGTTTTCTGGCACCAATCAAAAGCCAGAACGACCGCAACAGTTTGGAACTAGTCTGGAAAGACATTGTCCCCAGGGGCTCTTCTCGCCGTTCTTTAATTTTCTTTGTGCCATATTTTCCCACTCGTTTAGACTTTCTCTCGCCCCCCACTATCTGCCTCTGGGTATTTGAGGATGGGAGATAAAGGGTTTTTCAGGTCTGCAAATAGTCTCCCATTAGAGAATATGTTTTTAGCCAATGGTTTGCCTAGTATTTCTTCCTCATGAAATGAGTGAAATGTTCTGCCATTTTGTACCTTGCGAGCAGTGGTTTCTCCAGGCCGGATGCTACGCTACAAAGGGACCATAGTGTCCAGTGTGGAGAAACCACTGCTCCCAGGGTAGCCATTTTGCAGTCACTACCAAAACAACTCAACCTCCTACCCAGGTCTTCTCGGTTAATGGTTCAATAATCTGGCGATTTTGCAGCACTTTTGACATCATTTTTCAAATATCACACAGTCCTTCCAAATTTGGTTGACAATAGCTGGTTATAAAGAATTATGTGTGGGATTTTAGCCAGTCAGAAACAGAAAAATATTTTGAATGAATAATAATAATATTATTGTATTTACAATTACATATCATACTATCAAAAAAAATTTTGTACCTTGAGAAAAACAGTTTGTAGAACGTGAAATGCTTCAATATTTCTTACACTGACTCCTGCAGAAAAAAGACCAGCAAAATTTCTTCATGTTTTCAACATCAGTGCAAAACTAGCTAGCACAGCAAAATACAATAGCCATTAATGTTTCACTCCAAATCAAACTTTATACAAATTAATGTCACTACAGGATGCATGCAATTCATTAAGTTGCCTTTTTTAACAACTTATAGTAGTCTTACCAGTCATGCATATTACATGAAGTATTATTCCGAGCGAAGCTCAGCGCGGAGCGCCGCGTGAAACAACTTTATAATCTTGTTGCACGCAAAGCACGCGCGCAGTCTGCTGACCGTGCCTGGTCTTAGCCAGCTGCGAAATTCGAGGCTTCATAAATCTCTCTCTGAATATATGCTTGGCATCCGCCAGTGATGTCATGGAGCATTTTGCATTTCCAGGCAACATAGACTTCACCGCCGATGACCACTGAAACAAAGTTTACCATCGGTGAATCATGAACAATTTCCCATGCAAATGGCTCCAAGTGAAACAACAACCAAATGGCTCCAAATCCTCGCCCAGGAAGATTTTCCACCAAAACTCCTCTGGTGCGAGAATGCCGACTTCAAATTCAGCGTGAACAACGAAGGAGAAGATGTCAACAAGAAACCGCGGAACAGAAGGAACATCGCTTACCACAGCGAAGGCAACGCCGACAACAAGAGACAGAGGAACAGGAGACTGGAATCAGAGGCATTATGATCATTTTACACTGTCGAAAACACAGATTTCTTAGTTTGCTGGTTTCCCCGCCGATATATAGATCAAAGTCTCTAAAGTTTCAGCTCTGTATTACGGCCCGAAGAATGATAATTTTCAGGCGAACTGCACCAGGCCATATTTGTTCTTTGTTTTTTTCTTTTTCTAAATCCAGACGCAGAAATAATGCTAAATCTGCTCTTCAATACACTGTTAACAATAACACCACATAATACGCAAAAAAGAAGAAGAAGAAAAGTAAGAACAATGTATGGACCTTTAAGACGATATTCACGGTTGGTCACCCGTCCAGTTCATAACCCCGACCGACAGGGCTTAACTTGAGTGCCGTTCCCACACCGAGTTTCGCAAGGCTTATTGCAAGATACGTATTTCTAGTACAGCTAAATATTTTTAGTCTAACGTGGCTGAGTGGCCTGCACTTCAAACTTTCAATCAGGCGGTCTCAGCTTCGAGTTCTGCTCTGGCCACTTACTGGATTTGATCTCAGTTGTCCCAATTTCAAATTCTCTGTCAGCCACACTAAGTCTTGTAAATAGCCAATTTGTTGCCTCCTACCAGTTGAGTTTTTTTAATTTCCGGTTATTGTATTATTTGTTTCTAATTATTTGGGTGGAGTACCTGTAAATTTACTGGATTTGATAATTATTTTGCAAGGTTAGCAAATTATAATAACCACCACAACACCAACACCAAACAAACAAAAAACAAAGATCAAAAAATCAACACTAAAAATGTAACAAACCTCCACCCAGAGGTTCTGGAATCTGAAAGGTGGGATCCTGGAATGGAGCTCCAATGCTGATGAGAGGCCTTAGAGTTACATGACCAATCATTACAAGTGATGACACAAGCAAGACAACATTCCTACAAGCTTCCCGTGCTTCACTCCCTGCCATCTCACCCAACGTCAACAACAAGTCTGACAAAAACAGATAACCATGACAGCTGCGAAAATCAGCCAGTAAATAATGTGAAATGTCAGATGAGTCTTTCAGACAGCAGACCAAGGTGACAATCATTTCTACAAGCTCTAAAGGGTTGACTTGCTGAATCCTTCTCATGTTCATCAAGCACTGTGCAAGGCAGGATTTACCTTCAAAAAGAAGCAGATGCTTGAATATTCAACTCTGTTAGTTTTACAGCAAGCTTTAATAAAATAAAATTTTCATTTTAACTTTTGAGTTTGTAGAAAGGCCAATAGAGTGAATGTTCAAATTAAATCTTATCAGCAGACTTGAGACTTTTACATGAGAGTACGAATATGAGACTGAGCACAAGTACAAGTTTTCAAAACCAAGTTTTTGTGCTTTAAATAATCACTTATCAAAGCAATGGTATCTCTTTTATCACTGTTATGTGCTGGTGAGCAATAGGAAAAAATGAGGGTGTTGAAGACATCACTGGTTTGAAATTCCATTCTGTAAATTAAAATTCCATTCTGTAAATGAAATTCCATTCTGTAAATGTACACTGTGTCATAATCATCCTCAGATCTAAAAGGTTACTATTTTATTCTTTTGTTTCCAAGAGTTTTAAAAAATAAACATTGATCTCTTCTTGAATCTTGATCTTGGGAGGGAAAGGATAAAAATTATTATATTTCCCAAAATTGTAAGATAAAACTTTTGCCAAAAATTCCCATACTTCTGTTTCAAAACATGTCAAGACTGCAGTCTAAACAATTCATTCACATGTTAATTTGCAAACCAATCAACAAAAATTTTGCACCAGATTCATTCATTGGGCACGACATGTCCAGACAACAATACCCCAACCTGTGGGGCATCTTTTTTCGAAGAAAGAATATTCACCATTTTCAGTCTAGTAGCTTTATCATAAGCATCAATAGAAAGTTGATCATATATTGTACAAAATTAATATACCACAAGTAACAAGGACAACAAGAGTAAAAGGAAAGAAATAAAACTCCATTCTTTACGATATTGATGTATTTATCTTATTTTGTTACTTTTTGATCAAAGCCAAAATGACCATTGTTTAAAAAATCATTTTTATCACATATTTAGAATAGTTTAGAAGCGATTTTTGAGTTGAATCACTCAAATCTTCCCAATGTTTTGGAAAACAAAAGTCAAAATTTGTTATTACTAATAACAGCTCAGTGCTATTTGCCAAAGCAAGAATATCACTGTCCTATGGTATTTAAATATAAAAGACTATAGCTTAATTAATTAGATACTTTTTTTACTATCACTTGTACGTTAATATTGCATACTTACTGTGAATATAATTAACAACCTCCCTATCCAATCCATGCCGTGTGAGAGTCATTAAAATCTCTGACACACAGGTTCGCCACTGTAAGTTGTGTTTGGCAATTGGACAAGAAATAGCTGTAAAAAGTAACGCCAAGTCATCAGTGTGCACAAGCTCACGCGAAGTAGCTTTATAATTGCATAGTTTTACCAACACTTGGGAATATAGTTTCTGCACCGTTAAAGCATCATCTTGCAAGTCTTCAGTACTCTTGTCACTAGTTTTCTCAAGAAGAGGTAGATCAAAAAATAAATAAAGACATTTGACCATATTGGAGGGTAGGCTAGCAGCTACCATGCATTCCACCACAGGAGTATCGGCTGAAGCTAAAATATTCAGTGTATTTAAAAGATTCCAACCAGAAACAGTGTCTTCCGCAGAATCACGCATCAAGAAAGCAAAAATTAGTTTACTAGCGGTTTCATTGGATTGATTAGCCGCTCGCCGACGAATTTCGCTCACCATAAGCCGAGAAACATGAGCGGCAAATTGACAAACGTCCCCGAACTTTTCGGTCATACTGCTAGGCTTAGCCTGTCCAAACACCTTGCAAAACAAGGGCAACATCATGTAGAGTTTAGATTCCTGTTCACGCACTGTAAGTGGGACAGGCGAATGAAGGAATTCCATGAAAAGTTTTCGCAAATGCATCAAGGAAAGCGCTTCATCTTGGTTGGAGCTTTGATTTACATTGGAAACTGGTCTTCCAGATCGTGTTAGAACCTTTTTGACGAACTCCATTTTTGCGACCTTTTCCAGCGCGATGTTAAGAATCTTGCTGAGTCTACCGTTTTAAAAATTCCACAGGAATCAAGATCCGTAAGCAAAACACGACCACAAGCCTAGATTTCTGCGAAGAAACCTTGCAAATGAGCTGTAGTGATGTCTTTTGATGTCCATTTTCTTCTTCATTTTCGCTGCGTTCATACATTCATGGGGATATCCGCTGGTCTGAAAAACATATTGTTACTTTTTGTTGATATTATATGACAGACCAATCGGATCACTAACCGACAGAGAAAGGGCGCAAAAACGGCCCAATATTTCCAAAAAATTAATACTTATTATGTCATTTATGAGCGAAAAAGGCGAGATGGCTGTACCTCACCGATTACTTATCGTTGGTGCGGGACTCACAGGGTCAGTGTCAGCAGCATTACTCCGACGAAAATTCCCGAAAGAGCTCTTAGACATCACCGTCTGGGAAAAATCTCGGGGAGCCGGGGGGAGAATGAACACAAATAGATTTCCAGGCGATTCGAAAGGCTTGTCTTCCGTTGACCTTGGAGCACAGTACATTTCAGCTACATCGGAGTATTATTTAAAATCTCACGATAGGTAAGTGTAAATTCCTTCTGAATTATATTTCTCCATCATACATAAAAATGGTACGATGCGAACCTTACCTTATTTAGCTTATCCCGCGGCATTACATAATACTAAAATTAAGAATGCAAAGGTTATTGACGTCTGGGATAGAGCCCAACGGATTTAGGGGCAAATTTCCCTCTTAGGTTAAACCAGAATTTTCCTTGTCTCCTATGAAACAAAGGAAATTCTGAATTTAACTAGGCTGAATATTGGTTTAACCTGAGAGCGAATTTTATGTAGGAAAAAAAAATGCACTAAATTTATTTTTTGTAGAATTTTATGTAGAAAAAAAATGCACTAAATTTATTATTTGAGTGTCAGAGTATTTAGCACGAAAGTACAAACTGGGGACACTATTTTTACGTCTCCAACTAGAGATGGGACTGCCATTATAAATGGTCATGTGAGCTACACAAAGATCTAGCTGCTTGCAGTGCAAAGGGAGTACCTTCATTTCTCAGTTATTTTACAGTGCTACACGCCTTACCGTTGCCACTCGAAGAAAGTTTTTGATAAAATTTTGACATCTTTTTGACAGCTTTCTGATATCAGATGGCCAATCAGAATACGCGGAGTCTCCGCAGAGTCTCCATTGGAGAGACTTGACAGTGACAATTTGCTGGCGGTTTAAGCCGTGCGAAATTTTCAATTCTTTTTAAGAATGCCACAGCTAGCGTTTTAATGAATAATCTGTTTTCTGATTTGCTTTTGAAATTTTCCATCTAAACATTGACTGAGAATGAATGAAAGTTTACATGTCCGTGGCACATTTATTCAGTTCTGCAGCTGAAGTTCAGTTTAAATACGACAATTTAAGTATCAAAGACAGTCGTTTGGGTTCTAAACTTCTAAACCACTAAGTTCATCGCCAGGTACTTGGATTTTACAAGCCAAACTTCCCTCGCCTGATTTTGCAAGGGCACGCAGAGTCAACTTCGTTAGCTTGATTAAATATTTTCTTGTAGTCATGGTCTTTCACTTCTTTCACTGTATTAAGAAGCATTTGCAAGAATGCCAAAAGAAAATCTGCTTGACAAACATTCACCATATCGCCATCCTCGTCACAGCAGTCACGGTAGCTAAGTGTAATCTTATCTTCGTCAAGGAGAGCCAAAGAAGAACAATACTTTTTAATGCTACTTACAAAACCATTGTATGAGACATTTTCTAGGAGAAAACCTGAAAAAAAACGTTCCAAAATCGTTCTCTTGTTGTGAGACCTGTAAAATCCAAAGGGAGTGAATGGACTTGTAATTTGACATCTCTGCCCTTGGCAGTTCTCATGTTCTGATTGGCTGGCTGAAGTTAGCAAAAGGCTGTCAAAAAGAATGATGTCAAAATTTAATCAAAAACATTCTTCGAGTGGTAACGGTAAGGAGCGTAGCACTGTAAGACCCTGAGTTACTATTGGTCCAGCCCCAGGAATCAAGCCCGCGACCTCCCGCTCTGCAGTCTAGGGGCTCTACAGACTGAGCTAAAATTATTAAGTTGTAACAATCAGGCAAATAAATGCCATTATCTCTCATCATCAAACGTGTAGCTTGTGAATACAGCTTCCAGGTGTCTGTGTTTTGGCCCAAAACATTCTGTACTTATGGCATAAATCTGTTCAGAATCTGGTCAACAGCTCTGAACTGTTAATTTAGTGCCCACCAGATGACTCCCAATAACTGGAACCAAAATCAATTTCCCCCAGATTTCCTTCATACATTTTCTGTATTATACTCTCTGTAACTCAAACCCTCGATAACTCACTCCTCCCGCTAACTGGAAGCAATTTTTGTTTCCCTTCTGTAGAGGCTTGTGTGGCCGAGCAGTTTAACACCTCAAACTCCCAATCTGGAGGTCCAGGGTTGAAGCCTCACCTGTCACATTGTTTCCTTAGACAATTAGCTTTGCTCCACTTTGTCTCTCTTCATCCAGGTGTATAAATAGGTACCGGCAACATACTGCTGGGGGCTAACCCTGCGATGGACTAGCATCCCATCCAGGGGAAGTAGCAGTACTCCTAGGCATGCTTCTTGCTAAGGAAACCGGGATAAGCTATGGCCATTTGTGCCTTTGGCTTCCGCAGGCCTTTTCCTTTTTTTTTACCTTCAGATCATTTTTATACAATTTTACCCATGATAACTCGATCCATGTTTCAAGTACATGACGAGTTGCAAAAATAAGTGTACTGAAGTCTGTCAGAAACACTGAATTTATTTCAAAACAAACATGACAATTCTTTGTCCTTACTTGTATGTCACTCCAGCTCAAATTGAGTGTCTGTCATTGTATATTAATCAAGCTTTGTTGCTTAATTCCTTTTTTAAAATATCAATCTTTAACTCTTGCTACCCTAGAAGTAAAGTATGTATGATACTTGAATCTCCTCCCCATCTATTGCTTATTTTCTTTTTTTGGGTTATTTGCTTCAAACTCCCAATAACTCGAACTTTTTTTTTTGCCCAGAAGGTTCGAGTTATCAGGAGTCGACTGTAGTAGTATTGTATTCTTTCAGCAATAGTTTATGAATGACAAACCAAATCAACGGGAGCAGATCTAAAAGATTCAGAAGCGGGGGGGGGGGGGGGAGGGGGCACTAACCAGCAATATAGATGTTGTGGTTTAAATTTTTTCCTTGGTTTAAAATTTTTCAAACCAGTTTAATTTTTGTTTTTCTTTGTCTCCGATTATGGTAATTGATTTTAGACAAAGGAAAGTAAAAATTAAACTGGTTTGAAAAATTTTAAACCAAGGAAAAATTTGAACCACAACATAGATACAATTTTTTGATGACGTAAATTAATATTTACGTAATAGGGTAGTCATGGGGTTTCAAATGTAAATTATTGTCAAGTTTTGAGTTCTGTGAACAAGCAGAAGCAAAACTCACATGCTTCTTCTGAGAAAGGATATAATATTTCGCAAATATTGACTGTATTATAGATTCATCACATTTGCAATAATGATAAATTCTGGACAGATTTTATGTCATCAATACCATAAACCTCCGATTATAAGCCCTTCATAAGGGGGCTTGTTTTTAGAGGGGATGGGGGCTAAAAAAGTGTCTCAAAACATGCTACGTAGCAGTGCTGTTGAAAATGCTTTTTGAATTTGATTGCTAAACTTCAAAACGTTGTTGAAGTCAAATCCATTTCAAGCTGGAGTGGGGCTTATATTTTTTGGGGGGGGAGGGGGAGGGGAGGAGGGGTGATAACTGGATGAATTTTTTTATCAGCAGGTAGATAGACCTATAAATGGGGGGCTCATAATCAGAAGTTTACAGTATGGCATTTCTATCGTTAAAGCACAGACATCTCCCACAAAACAACCCTAGCAGCCAGGAGCAAGTCCCAAGGGACAGCTGAATTTGCAGAGAAACAGTCAAAACCTTTCAAAAAGTCTCTGTCGCTTAGGGTATTGTATGACTTGTGGCTGATTTGTGTGAAAACATTTGCCAATTCCTGTTGTTTAATTTGTGCTGTTTAGATTCTACCAGGAATTATTATCTGCCAAGGTGTTGGTGCCATTCAAAGGAATTATTGAAGGTGAAAAAGAAGCAGCCAAACATAACTTCACCAACTTTGTTGCACCCTCAGGAATAAACAGTATAGTCAAGCATTTTCTTCACTCTTCAGGTGAGGCATGTCCCTATTTCTTTGCACTTGGGTTAGACGTGTCCCTCTTTCTGTACCCTTTTTGTACTTTTCAAAGGCATCTCTCTTTCTGTCTTTAGGTGAGGTGTATCTCAATATCTGTAACATTAAGGTAAAATTTGTTTCTCCTTTTGCACCCTTCAGATTAGCCAGAATTTTTGCCATTACCTCTTGGGTGTGTAATTTAAAATGAAGGCTGAAAATCAGGCTTCTTTTAGGTAAAGTGGGTCACTCTTTCTTCACTCCTTGAGAAAGATGTGTCCCTCTTTCTGTACTCTTTGGGTGAGATGTGTCCCTCTCTCTGTACTCTTTGGGTGAGTTGTGTCCCTCTCTCTGTACTCTTTGGGGTGAGACGTGTCCTCTCTCTGTACTCTTTGGGTGAGATGTATCCCTCTCTCTGTACTCTTTGGGTGAGATGTGTCCCTCTTTTTGTACTCTTTGGGTGAGATGTGTCTTTCTATCTGCTCTCTTTGGGTCAGTGTATCCCTCTCTCTGTACTCTTTGGGGTGAGATGTGTCCTCTCTCTGTACTCTTTGGGTGAGATGTGTCCCTCTCTCTGTACTCTTTGGGTGAGATGTGTCCCTCTCTCTGTACTCTTTGGGTGAGATGTGTCCCTCTCTCTGTACTCTTTGGGTGAGATGTGTCCCTCTTTTTGTACTCTTTGGGTGAGATGTGTCTTTCTATCTGCTCTCTTTGGGTGAGATGTGTCCCTCTCTCTGTACTCTTTGGGGTGAGATGTGTCCTCTCTCTGTACTCTTCGGGTGAGATGTGTCCCTCTCTCTGTACTCTTTGGGTGAGGTGTGTCCCTCTCTCTGTACTCTTTGGGTGAAATATGTCCCTCTCTCTGTACTCTTTGGGTGAGATGTGTCCCTCTCTCTGTACTCTTCGGGTGAGATGTGTCCCTCTCTCTGTACTCTTTGGGTGAGATGTGTCCCTTCTCTCTGTACTCTTTGGGTGAGATATGTCCCTCTCTCTGTACTCTTTGGGTGAGAATGTGTCCCTCTCTCTTTTGGGTGAGATGTGTCTTTGGGTGAGATGTGTCCCTCTCTGTACTCTTTGGGTGAGATGTGTCCCTCTCTCTGTACTCTTTGGGTGAGATGTGTGTCCTCTCTCTGTACTCTTTTGGGTGAGATGTGTCCCTCTCTGTACTCTTTGGGTGGATGTGAGATGTGAGATGTGTCCCTCTCTGTACTCTGTAGATGTGTCCCTCTCTTTTTGGGTCAGTGTGTCCCTCTCTCTGTAGATGTGTCTCTTTGGGTGAGATGTGTCCCTCTCTCTGTACTCTTTGGGTGAGATGTGTCCCTCTCTCTGTACTCTTTGGGTGAGATGTGTCCTTCTCTCTGTACTCTTTGGGTGAGATGTGTCCCTCTCTCTGTACTCTTTGGGTGAGATGTGTCCCTCTCTCTGTACTCTTTGGGTCAGTGTGTCCCTCTCTCTGTACTCTTTGGGTGAGATGTGTCCCTCTCTCTGTACTCTTTGGGTGAGATGTGTCCCTCTCTCTGTACTCTTTGGCGTAGATGTGTCCCTCTCTCTGTACTCTTTGGGTGAGATGTGTCCCTCTCTCTGTACTCTTTGGGTGAGATGTGTCCCTCTTTTTGTACTCTTTGGGTGAGATGTGTCTTTCTATCTGCTCTCTTTGGGTCAGTGTATCCCTCTCTCTGTACTCTTTGGGGTGAGATGTGTCCTCTCTCTGTACTCTTTAGGTGAGATGTGTCCCTCTCTCTGTACTCTTTGGGTGAGATGTGTTCCTCTCTCTGTACTCTTTGGGTGAGATGTGTCCCTCTCTCTGTACTCTTTGGGTGAGATGTGTCCCTCTCTCTGTACTCTTTGGGTGAGATGTGTCCCTCTCTCTGTACTCTTTGGGTCAGTGTATCCCTCTCTCTGTACTCTTTGGGTGAGATGTGTCCCTCTCTCTGTACTCTTTGGGTGAGATGTGTCCCTCTCTCTATACTCTTTGGGTGAGATGTGTCCTTCTCTCTGTACTCTTTGGGTGAGATGTGTCCCTCTCTCTGTACTCTTTGGGTGAGATGTGTCCCTCTCTCTGTACTCTTTGGGTGAGTGTCTCCCTCTCTGTACTCTTTGGGTGAGATGTGTCCCTCTCTCTGTACTCTTTGGGTGAGATGTGTCCCTCTCTCTGTACTCTTTGGGTGAGATGTGTCCCTCTCTCTGTACTCTTTGGGTGAGATGTGTCCCTCTCTCTGTACTCTTTGGGTGAGATGTGTCCCTCTCTCTGTACTCTTTGGCGTAGATGTGTCCCTCTCTCTGTACTCTTTGGGTGAGATGTGTCCCTCTCTCTGTACTCTTTGGGTGAGATGTGTCCCTCTTTTTGTACTCTTTGGGTGAGATGTGTCTTTCTATCTGCTCTCTTTGGGTCAGTGTATCCCTCTCTCTGTACTCTTTGGGGTGAGATGTGTCCTCTCTCTGTACTCTTCAGGTGAGATGTGTCCCTCTCTCTGTACTCTTTGGGTGAGATGTGTCCCTCTCTCTGTACTCTTTGTGGTGAGACATGTCCTCTCTCTGTACTTTTTAAGCAAGATGTGTCCCTCTCTCTGCACTCTTTACGTAAGATGTGTCCCTCTTTCTGACTCTTTGGGTGAGATGTGTCCCTCTCTTTTTACTCTTTGGGTGAGATGTGTCCCTCAGTTGCTACTGTAATTCTCTTGTTAATGAGGTGAAAATGTTACAACACCGTGACAAACTTCACTTTTATTTGATCAGAAATATCACCAATGCCAGTCCTTTCAGAAAACACTTGTCATCGTATCTTTCTTTTTTTTAATTAATTTGCAGAATCCAAGGTTTCCTATGAAACCCACTGTAATGTGATAGACTGTTGTGAGAAGCCAGGACATGATGGACGCTCAAGGAAAGTGTGGCAAGTAACAGACCTAAAAGATAACACTGAAGAATTTGAATCTGTTATAATCACAATTCCAGTCCCTCAACTGCTTGGGTTAAAGGGTTCAATTCAAGATTTTATAGAAAGTAAAAGACTTTCCTTGGAAAATGTTGAATATTCATCACGCTTTGCTGTGGGGTTGTACTTTGATGTGGGATCTAAAATAAATGTAGCATGGACTTGTAAGTACGTGATTGGAGACCCAAACTTGGCCTTTTTGTCTGTTGACACCCGGAAAAGATTCAATAAAGGTAGGTTTTTACGTTGAAGGTTAAAAGGTTAAAGGCAATTGTTTATAGTGGAAAGAGCACTTAGCTTATCCAGCTAGTTTACAGGCACTCCACTCAAATTATTCAATTATAACATAATAGGGTTTAAAAACACACACACACACAACTGGACAACTGGCAGGAGGCAACCAGTTAGTTATGTACAAGAGTGGCCAAGTACTTGAACTTGGGACAACCAAGAACAAATCCAGCAAGTGGTCAGAGCAGGACTCAAACGCGGGACCATCAGATTTTGAGTCCAACGCCCTGACCACTCAGTCGTGCTGCCTGTTTACTGTGCAGGCATTGCCGAAACAATCGCTGTTGATTGTACTGACATATCCTTAGTTCAACAATCTGACAAAAAGTAAGCAGATCTCTGAATATATACATTCAGCCCTAAGAAAATTTGAGGACGGTAAATTTTAATAGTACCTAGTTGTTTGCCTTTCCTAGGGTGTAAAGTTATTTTAATTAGTTGTTGTACAAATAAGAATTAAGAAGTCACATGCAATAAAGCGAATCAAAGATACAGTGATTTCCCTGTGATGCTGGCAACGTAAAGACCAGTATCTCTTGGAAATTTAGGCTTAGTTTGATTACAATGTTATATTATCTCCGCTTATCAGATCCAACAGACACTGGCTCATCTCTCTTAATACATTCATCCAAGTCGTTCAGCTTAAAGCACTGGGACACAGATCAGGAAGCTGTCAGGAACCTACTCATATCACATGCAAGAGAACTTATCCCTGACCTTCCTCACCCTATAGATAGTCGCTGTCTAAGATGGAGATATTCACAAGTGGTCCGTAGATTTGAGGGAGCTCCTGGTTGTTTAATATTGTCTTCCTCACCTTTACTGATTGCTTGTGGTGATGCATTCACACACACAAATTTTGATGGCTGCATCAGCTCAGCCCAGTCTGTTGCAAAAACATTTAGTCTTTGAAACATGGAATTTCAAACGTACAAACCATATTTGTGCACATTGTTTTCCATACATTTTGTTGCAATACTCATGACAAGAATAGACTTTATTGTTCCAAAATCATGGCAAAAGTTTAGCTAGTTAGCATTCTATGCCTCAATTGCATCTGCTGAATTTGTTACCTATATACAGCTATTTCGAGAAAGGCTGTCGGAAAAAAAGGGCACGCGACAACCCCGAAAGGTAGTATGGGATATGTTCAATACACTGTTCCTGACACTGTAGCTGTCGAACCTACTTTTGTTGCTTTTCTTTAGCACTCAAAGACATATGTCCATGACCTCTCCTGCCATTCTTTCAAATTTCTGTGAAAAACAGTGCACTCAAAACCATCTACAATACCTTTCGGGCTTGTCACATGTACTTCATCCGCCAACCTTTCTCGAAATAGCTGTATATTTGATGCCTATTAACATTCATTGACCAACTGGAGAGTGACACCAGTCTTCCAAGACAGGATCTTGCATCTGTGACTGTCATGGGTTACAGATGGGAATAAGACAGACTAATCTTATCAAATTGGCATGGGTGCACCTGAAATAGATACTAGATAGAAGAGCCAGTTAACGTGAAGACAAATGAAAATTTATTATCCCTGGAGGTAATGATAACAAAATTAAATGTACTTAGCAAAATTGTTCTGAGTGTAAATGGTTATTAGTTACTTTATGTTCTCCTCTAACTGTTTTTTTGTTCTCCTATGCCCCTTTATTTCAAGCTCCTGTAACACGGCCTTGTTTGGTCTTTCCATGCACTTACAAATTTGTAGGGAGACGGAGTTAGATCTACCTAAAGAAGTTAAAGACGATTAGTTCTTGTTCTGTTATTCAGGATGAGGCCAAAATAGTGGAAAGTTCAAAAGTGTGTATTGAAATAAACTCTTCCTCGCTGGAACTTGTAAATTCAAGGATGCAGAACAGTTAATCTGACTCAGTCCAGTTTTTTCCCCAAATTTCCTGTATACATAATATAAAACTAGAAAATTACAGACTGAGAGAATACCAAATAATTTAAAGGGGAAAGACTGCAAATAGTAAATTGTTGTTGCTGGAAATATCTGAATGACATTACAGTTCATCAGGAGAGTTACAGTCTTCACTCTGGTGTCATATACCGATATTCAGTTTTTTCCAAAGACAAATGATTCATGGGAAGATTATACCAACAGTGCACTGTTCATGTCTGACTTTCAAATTTAAATTCACTTTATGTAACTTAATTGTGTCTTGCAAGTCATATAAACATGCAAAGTCTAGCAAAATAATGTTCAGACAATTTGGCGACATCATGACACCATTATCAAGGATTGGAAATAGATGCGAGTTCAAAAGGAGTTACTTTGCTCTAAACCACAGTTATGTTGCCCAAAATTTGTAGTCAAGTTCCTTGAAAATGGCTGAATCATTCAATTGTGCTCAACAACATCCTAAAACATTGTGCTTGTTTTGTCTCATCAAGGATAAACGAACAAGAAAAATTAAACATTTATTGCACTTGTTCCGTCTCATAATGCAGGCTTAAAGAACAAGGTACATTCTGGGGACACATTACACATAAATCATTCTCCACTCTATGAGGGCCACAAGTTCAAGCATCAAAATTTTAAGCTTATAATTTATCGGAATAGCTCTTAATGTTTAGTACATCCTTTGAAGATTTTAATTTTTTTTAGAATCTTAGACTTTTATTTTTTTAGATTTTAGTGGAAATTTGTTCATCATTATTATTGTGGTTAATAGCTTCGTAGGAATTTTATTTTAATTGTATCTTAATGTAAAGTGTTTTTGAATATTTTATAGTTCTAGAGCTATACAAATTCTTTATCATTCTTTCATTCACAATTAATAGTTAATTCAGACACAAAGGGGACGTGCATGCCATGGTGTCTGTATTATCCATGTGTCAGTACTAAGCAGGTTGTCAAGGAAAACGTTTTGGTTACATGTTGTATTATTTGATTTAACTTAGATTAGATCAAGCTAAAGCAGGCAAAGAGGAAGAAGAGTAGATACAATGAATGCAGCAAAAAGCCAAGGAAGTGAACCTTGTTCACTAGGAGGCAGAAAACTGTATGAAATGGCTACACTCCAATTTTTTAACAGGGGAGGAAAGACAGCCTTTTTGAAATCAAAATTGTTGTACTATTTTGCTTCTGTATTTAATAACCTTACGAAATCTGTCATTATTTGAACAGGGTACAATGCCTACAATTGTGACTAGGAAAATAGAAACTGCACAGTTATTAAACTAGTGTATGTAGTGCAGGATCAGCGATATATGAGTTTGTGCCTCAGGACACAGAAAAGTGTTTGTTGTCAAGGGTGTAACCAGCCCATAAACCTGTAGGCCCATGCCTACAAATTTTTGGTTTGATCACTCCACGCTTGTAATAAATTATGCATTGTTGGGGTGAGCTAAAAAGCTTAAGAGCTCAAAGTGTTAGTGGGGTCAGTTCGTACTAGTCATGCGTGCAATTTTCAGGATATGTGGAAATGAAAGTCAGCCAGACCTACCACCCTGTTTCTGGAAAGTGGTTCGTACAACTTCAGACAAACAAATTTTTAAGGACTTTTCAACATTGTACGAACCATGTGGAAAATCCAGTTGGAAAGTCAATGGAACAAGACAATTGGGTCATTCCAACGGAAAATTTCCAGGAGCAATGGAAGATCTGAAAAGATAGTCCTTTTTTATGGATGGAATGTTCCAAACAGAAATATGTGTTCCATTTTTGCTGTTCTCAATACCCTCGCTGTTCACCATAATTTACACAATTTTATTTTTGTGTGAATAAATTACATGTATAAGTACAGTAACAAGAGATTCACTTTTAGCCCTGGCCAATTATTTATTAAATTATTTCATTTTGTGGCCGCAGTACAATAACTCAATAACTTTAAAACGGTTAACTAAAATGAAAAAGACTGGTTGCCAGCAAGTAGTCTGTGGCCATGCAAACAAATTTCTAGATGCTGCACAAGTTTTCTGGGGTCAGTATTAGATTCCATCGGCCGTAGCCCCTTTCTCCCCTCATGAAATTTACACAAGGTAGTATAGAACTGTTTTCTGCTTTTATATCACACTTAGATGATATTTCAAGCTGGAATGGTCATGAAAGCGCAATTCTCATCAATTTGAAAGAAAAAAACTGATACAAAAGATAGCAGGATACGAACCCATGACCCAGATAGTCCAGTATACTATGGTAACCACTACACCACTGAGGATTTGCTGGATGGAACTGAAATAATTTAAGTACATATATATAGTATGAACCCCAACCCAAAAAAAGAACCTAACCAGTTTCGAAACTGTCTAATCAGTGAAGGCAGTGCTTGATGTAACCCTAATCTGTAAAAAGGAAAACTACGTTGTGTAAATTTCATGGGGTGTCCAAGGGGGCTGTGGTCGATCGGATCCAATGATAACCGTTTTCCTGGCATGAATCACTTGCCAAACTTTTGACCAAGGGTGGGGGCAGGGGGAGAGAATAGGTTGCTCCTGGAGCATGACCAAAAGTGTGATCAAGCAAAGCCTTAGAACTTTTTTCTGCCAAATTTTGTCATCATTCAAGCACAAGTAAAATCAATGTACATTTTCAAACTCAAGCAAACCCGTTGGTTACCCCTAATATGGTTCACTTTGTGCCAAAATGAAATGCAAGGAACATGTCTGGGTTTCCCTTTCCTACCCTACTGAGTTCTTCTACCCCTACCCTCAGAGTCTGAACACGCAGTCGGCGTTAGGTTAATTGTCACTGACATCATAACCAAATTTTCTTGCAACCAAAGGTGATTGTGATGTATATTCATACTTCCATACTACATTTGAAAGGCCTTTGGGAGAAAACAAAAACAGTTTGCAGTCTAGGAACTACCAAATAACACAGTTTGCGGAATGGTCGACCCCCTATAATAGACCCCCTAGATAAGCTTTTTTTTGTACTTTAATATAAATTTTTATTTTGCTATGTATTACAATATTTTTACACACTGACCCTTATGAACACGTAGGAAAAGTACAAAAAAAAAAGAAAAGAATACTAAACATATACACATCGCACACACACACAAATTACATACTGAAAAAAAAGAGAAAGAAAGAAAGAAACACACCCCAGCACATTCTTCTCCATTTACATGAAAAAATTAATAACCGAAGTAAGCGGCAAAAGGATTGTATGCTAATCAGGTTTATATTTGCTCCATTTCATGTTGTGGGTCTCCAACCTATTGTTTACCTCAGTGATCATTGTCTTGAATCAGAAAACAGTATTAATTTTGGAATTAAGAACTCTAATGGTGGCAGAATATTTTTTTCTGTCTACAAGAGTATAGGTATTGTTTTGCCAGCAATAAAATATGACTCACATATATCTCATCTTTGCATCCAATAATAACAAATTATAGTGTATCTTTGTCTGAAAGATTTTTAAGTTTGACTTTATGATCAACAAGCCATTTTATAACCTCAGGCCAGAAATTCTTAGTATAATGACAAGACAGAAAAAGATGTTCGAGGAATTTATCCGATTCACCACACAAGGAGCACACTGGAGATGATATAATACCAATTTTGCATAAGAAGGTATTTGTCACAAGCATCTGTTTAGTAATTTATACTGAAATTCGTCCAAAGCAACACGATATGGCAAGCTATAAACTTTTTTCCAATTCAAAGTATCATTAACAAAATGATAAGCTTCGAAACTTCTTCATTAATGGAATTTTCATCTAAATTTTTAACCTTCCTCAAGCTATAAAAATTCTAGGTAATATCTGCTTCTCCAAACAGATATTTTACAGAAAATAGTGGTTGGTTGCGCCTGATCTGTTTACTTCCTTCCAGTCTCCTTTCGTTCACGTTGAAAATTCTCGATCGTCAACCTTTAAAATACCCTCCTCGTCCACATAAAGAGCGCATTTTAAGCCCAATTTCCATGTTTCAAGAAGTTTTCCATTACTTGATCTATCAACCGCGAGAATAGCGGGGCAAACTTTCCTGGCCCACTCCTCCCCTGTGATTTGTTTGGCTAATTCATCCGCAATCATAGTTTTCTCGTTCATGGGACTCAACACCACACCAGGATCAAGTTGGAAGCTTACCAAGGGTTCTGGAAGCTCTTTTGCGAGATTTCTTGAGAATCCTTCTAAGCCCCACTTGCCTGTGACGTGCGCTGTGAGCTTTCCTATATTGTTCCTTCCAACCCATGAGGTCACGTTACAAACGACCCCCTTACCGGATGAGATCATATGTGGAACAAAATGGCGCGTCGTGTTCGCCGTACCTTTTATATCCACGTCCACAACCCGATTAAACTCTTCCGCTGGTAACTCCCAGAAGTTCATATGTCTAGCAGCAATGGAGGCGTTGTTTATTAAAACATCTGGGGCACCAAATTTCTTCAGGATGCGCGTCGCCCATTGACCTACTTGTTCGTCTTGGAGCACATCCACTGCAGCGAAATCACAACGATCAGCGACAGAATTAAACTCCTGCGTTAGCTGCCTTACAATTGAGTCTGTTCGACCGCAGCCGGCCACTTTGTGGCCCAGACGAAGAAATTCTCGTGCCATGTCATTGCCAAGACCATATGTAGCACCTGTTATAACTATGACTTTGCTTTCGAAACTTTCCATTACGCGACGAGATCCGGGATGTGTCACCTGATTGCCTGTGTGGGGGAGTTTACAGTTTACAGATAATACGGGGCCGGGGTGCCGGGGTCTATGGAAAACACGGGGTCACGGGGTCTGTGGAAAACACGAGGTCCCGGGGCCTGTTGGGTTTTGCGAAAAATACAGACTGCAGACTGAGGTGAGGGTAAAACGCATGCAAGGTGTAGAATGAAGACTAGAAGGTAAAATGAAGACTCGGCAAAAGTTTTAAAACTGTACACGCGGAGGGGTGACCAAAACCCTGCTATTAATAACACTTTCTGGCAGGAGCCGATCTGTTTTTAGTCATCTTTTCACTCTAATGACTTTTCTGGAGCGTTTTATTTCAATGTTTACGATATGGAAAAATAACGGTCATCTTGACGTTTTGAAGAGACATCCTAAGCTGGCGCCTCTCATCTCTCAGGCCGCCTTGTAAGCTTACTTCGCTAACCTGTGAACAGGCTCTCTGTTTGGGGAAAAAAAATAGCGAAGTTTCCCGCTCGAACAAAGGCCTTTTCACAGGCTGCTGATGTTTTGATTCTCGAATTAGCAGCGGTCTTTTGCTTTTGCGTTTCCGGTCTCATTCACTTCCGTCACCGAGTTAAGTGATGAGGTTCGCAGCGAACGAAGTCACGTAATACAAGTTTCCTCCCTTGTATAGGCTTTTGTACATTATGCTTTTGCTTCCCTACTAAAATGCTCCACCTTAATGTTCCATTTTTCCCACTAAAATGCTCGGTCTCCCCAAAAAAGTCACTAAAATGCTCGGATAATGATCATTATACAAACGTTTTTTTAAGGTATCAGCCACCCTTCAGGACCGTCCGCGCGCGGATCGCTGTAGCGTTAGTTGTTTTTATAAAAACCCCTATAAACCATATATTTTTTAAAAGCTTAATAATTCCAGATTATGGATTTGGACTAACAAAAACGATTTACTTAAATGTGTTTCGAAATTGGAACGCTTTGTGTAAAAGTACATGTCTCTATAAATCATGTTCCACTCCCGCCGGAGATAAACGGAAGAAAACAATTAACACCGCATTCGCTTCTCAACACGTTCCACTAAAAAATCGTGTCTCAGATTTTTGACAAGTGCGTTTGTTTTTCTTTTATTAGCAAATGAAGTTGGGGAAGGCAATAAGTCAACACTCCCTGTGGAAAAAAAGCTCTAGCTTTAAAATGAAAAGGAGTATTAAAATTCGCAGACACGGTTTTGTAGAAGAGGTATATGGCATCACTCTGGCCAAATTTTAGCCAAATTGATTGAAAGGCTGCCGACTTGGACTTCACAACGTACGAGTCGATCGGCAAAATTTGCGTTCGGGGATAAAATAGAAAATACATTTTTGGCGGCATCCTACCTGGAATGAGATTATAACACCTAACTGTTTATTCTGATCGATATCAGAGAGGGATCAATTTTCTCTAACAATAGGACTTTGACAGGTAACATGTAACAGGAACAAACTTTTTATTGCTATTAACATCTTCAAGTGAACAGTTGGAAAACTTCCACTCTTTTACACCACGAGAAGCACGGTTTAATTCTTTCTCGAGCAAAAGTTTTGCCTCTCCTTCGATCTTTTTTGTATGATCCGCCCAGGCGTTTTTGTTGATCGGCGCCAGGCCAAGGAAACTAAAAAACTTTGACGCCGCCGAATGTCCACCACCGATTGCTCGAAGGCCAAAAACTGAGGCCCGGTATATTTCAAACGCTCTGCTCTTCTCGGAAGAATTAAAAACAGAATTTGTCTTGTGCGACGGACAGCTTTCATTCTCGCACTGGATTCTCCAGGTAGAACCAAGTCCATGCTTAGTCGCTACATTTTCCATGACTTGGACAATTCCCTGGAAAAATCGACAAGATACAGACTCGTCCAGTTTCTCAAGCAGCTTTTCGCTCGATACGATAGCTCGACCGCTTATTGTTTTCCACGTTCCATCAGCAGATGGGGTCGATGAGCTTAATTGGCTTTCTTGATCTCGCTCTTCAAGCTGGATTTTGGAGCGGCTTGCACTCTCATCAACTGCAGCGTTTTCGCTTTTCTGAATATCCAACTCCTCGAGTCACTTCTCTTGCTGATAAAATGAGCCTTTGTCGCTCTCTGCCAATTTTGCGGCCCATTCTTTGTCAAACTCGCTCTTCGATTTCTTTTTCGCTCTCGGGTTTCGATGACGAAAACGGACGCGACCTTTTCTTTTTTTCTTTTTGGCGGCATTTTCATCGAAGCAAACGCTAAATATCCACGGAGAATACTAAAGGCTATAAACAACGCGAAGACAATTCGCACGTGTTGTGTCGAAGCACGCACTCGGTATCACGTTACTAGCTCACAGGCATATATGGACACGAGTATGACAGATCTTGTCAACTATCATATTAAGATAGTTAACGAGAAAAAATCTTTTACCCCCGATATCTTTCGACAGAAATAATATTTTCTTCTGATTTTTTTTTAAAAGAAAGCTCTCAAGCATATCTATTTGAAAACGTTGAAATCTCAAATACGGAAAAATGGCAATTTTAAGGGTGGCTGATACCTTAAATTAATTTCAAAGTTTACACTTACCAAAACGTGCAAGTGTTGCAAGTAACAACGACAACGTGTACAAGTTCATAAATACAGCCAAAAAAACCAGCTTTATTAAGTTTTTTGTGAATTTTGAATTTTAGTCTTCATTTTGTTTAAAAAAGCAGGAGCTCATGGGGCATGGGCTCCTGAAAAGAGTTAATTTCTACTATATTTTCTCGGAAAAATTAATTTTCCGGGGAAAATGCCACTAAAATGCTCGAATAATGCTCAATGCTTTTGCCTCACTAAAATGCTCCAAAAAAGGCTAGCATAATGTACAAAAGCCTATAGACTACAGCGGTGTGTGTTAGAGACGTGCCAGTGCTTCGGTAAACAAGGTGGTAGAGTAAGTAACGCTGTTAAAAACAAGTAGTTTATTAGCTAGGGACAACGTACGTTCGCCAAAACAACACTGGGTCTTTTTTTGTATCTGGAAATGATTCAATACACAGCGTCGCTAACACGTCGGCAAGCCATATGATTTTTCAATGCCGAGTTCAGCAAGACACGCTCTTGTTCAGTCCCTTTTCTGAGAATCTGAGACTCACAGGGTTATTTTTGAAGCTGAAGGACATTCTGGGGATACCTGTTTTACGTTGTGCAGCCTTAAAGAAACATAATTTCTCGTTTCTTTTTCTTTACTAAAAGATTCTGGGGACCATAGGCGTAAGGGAAATTTTTTGCCAGGGGGGGCGGTAAACCATTTGCCCAAAAAAATCTCCTAAGTTGCCCAAATTTTTACGAAAGAGTCGAAAAGAAATGAGGGCCATATTGCAACAACATAGGCCGTCCTGGCATATGAAGGTGGCTCGATACAGGTTTTCAGGATCAATACCAAGTCTGAGCATAAACTACGTCGCCATAAGCAAACATTTGGAAAAACTGCGACCACAGTGGTATTAAGATGAAAATTTGGCATTATCAGGGTTGCAGTGACATCGGAGTTGTCGTAGCAACGAAATGACTCCATTACCTATTTTTTCTCGGTACGGGAACCTTACAAAATCGTTCACAGGAGCTTTTTTCTCCAATACGGTCGCCTCGATGTTCGTGAAGTTTAAGCAAAACCTTAAGAGCGTTATCGAGATATTTTGCAATGATTTTTTATTATTAGAAATACGGTAAGGAAAAGAAAATCTTGATTTTTGGCCATTATCTGTAGAAAATGAAGTGCTGTTGTCCTGCAATTTCACCTCATAGTAGCTTTAATCGTTTTAAAAACTTGTGTGAAAGATCGTGGAGGTAGCTCTGCTTGATTGCTAGAATCGAAAGAAGGATTTGATTAGTATGTATCGAGACACTCTTGTTAGCGGTTTTGTAAACATTTCCGTCTACTTTAACAAATCAGCGGATAATTTTAAACCGCTCGATAGATTTTTTAAAAGAATTAAGATTCTTCTCGTAATTCAAACTGAGAATTAGTCAGCCACTTCTTCATGTTCATACAGTTTTCAGTCGAAATCGCGCGGAAACGCTTGCTATGCAGGCAAGGCAGGCAATACCCATTGCTAAATGCTATCTGCCATACACTGTTCTTCGAGTGGAGATGATTCTAGAAAGTTATGCGAAAGTTTATTTTAATCAATTCTCGACTGGAAATAGCCCATTCCAGCTAGTGCAGTGCAGTATAGTGCCCATAAAAAAAAACTGCAAATGTGTAAATTACTCATCACATGCTAAGCAACCACTGTAATGTAACTGGATTATTACGCCTACTTCAGGTTAATATTCAGCTCTTTAAAATAATTAAATGAACATGGAGACTTCCTTTAAAAACTGGCTTTGCCCAAATTTCCTCTCGCTGCCCAAAAAATCTGAGTTGCCCAAACTTTGGGGGGGCTGCAGCCCCCCTCGCCCCCCCGGCCCGTACGCCTATGCTGGGGACTGTTTATTTCATGATGGTGGTGGGGTTGCGGGGAGGGTGAAATGCTTTTTAGGTTTGTCTATGCCCCTCATGCGTGTTCGACCCAGTAACATAACATTTAAATTAGCATTCTCATATACGGAAATGGTATTGCTTTTAAACTATCACAATTACCATTTTTAAAATCCATAACAACGTTATATATATATATTTATATATATATATATATTTATATATATATATATATATATATATATATATAAAAACAATGAAAAACGAAAGTCTTCTTTGCTTTTGCGCTACGCGTTTCACCGCTGTTGCGGCTCTTCAGGCATAGCAAAGTGTTGTTATCAACTTATTACGTCACAGACGTAATTGTAATTACAATTATAATGGCTCTTGTAATTCGTCGCACGCGCGAGCAATTAGCGTAATTTCAAATCATTAAGAACGGGTTTATATTTCAAAATAAAAAACCTCTCTTTGTTTTTTCTCATGCCCTCGGAGGGGCTGAGAATCTTGTAAAACGGAAAGATAGT